GGTACGTGCAAAAACAAAACCAAAAACCGAACCGAAAACCGAACACTGAAAACTCTAAAGAAAAACAATTGCATAAAAAATTCACATGGCTCGAATCGCATCGCGGGTCTCGTCGTACGCTGAGATTATACAACTTTCTAATCAAAACATAACTTTATTATTTCTGTGTTTGCTTTGGTCGTATTTACCCATACTACTCGTATTTTCTGTGCCGTCACTAAATTCAATTGCTCAATTGGCTTAATCAGCCGCAACTAAAAACTCAAATAATAGTTTCCATTTTCCTTGCTTATATTTTTTTGTGGCTCTCTTTGGGACTTGACACAGCGTTTCCGGTACGCACTTTCAGAGCGGACTCTGTGCCGCCCATAAGTGGGTCAGAGGCAAAGTAAACCCTGAAATTATTGAGAGAAGCACGTAGAACGTTTTAATTACAATTGGCCTAGTTTTGCTACGAGTCGAGCCGTGTTGAGATTTTAACCGTACGTCTGTTGCGGTAGCCGATGGATATCTACGCCATTGCAGCCTGCTATCAGATTAGAGTTAATAGTTTAATTGAAAGGCGAGTCGAGTACTGTCCGCAACGAATTCGAGGGAATTGTTCAGTGAGTTGCTGGCCAAGCCCTTCAAAGATGTGATGAAATGTGAACAGGGCTATTTCATTTGGTTCCCACCACTTTACTTAAACCCAAGCCAATTACTGTAGCAATTGAATCCTTCCAGGGGCCACCATTCTCATCGAAGCTGCAGCCACTTTTTGCAGTGAAGTTTTGAAAGTATTATTAATTCTACTTATCGTACTTATTGTTCCCTTCACTGCCGCTGTCAATTCATTCCCATTGCAGCATCTACAACTTTTCTTTGCACGCACAGCTGTAATCTCAGGAAAACTCAACTCCATCACATGACCCCAAATGTACCCTTTTCTTTCGGCTAGGCCTAACGGAACCCCCCAAAGGCGACCTCATTGCACCTCTCTATGCGCCTCTCAAACGATTTTCATGCGACCTTACACAACCCAAAAAACACACAGCGGAAGGCCTCATTAACTGACCTTAGTTGACAATTTCAAATGGGCACCCGGAGCCGGACCAACGAAAATTGTCTAATGAAGTGCCCACGAAATCCGAGTCCGAGACAAGCGAAAAAGGCTTCCTAAAAACTGTACGAAAAAAATGGCCACGGCTAAAAGTTTGTTGAACTTTAGCAACGCCGCAAAAATGCGGTGGAAAAAAATCAATTTCTTTGCATATTAAATCAGGCAACTCATTGTGTGTGACCCGGGGCCAAACTAGTTATAAAAAAAGATCTTCCGCCACGCCAGGCAAAGACTTTGGGTTGGTTATGTCATGGGTTGCCATTGCCTCATGAGCCCCAGCCAGGCGAAGCGATTCTGAACAAAATGCTAATGATAGAAAAGAGAGAATATTTCTACAAAGTCAGGGGCAGAATTTCATGTTCCGCGATCCCATGATTCCATTTTTATCTGCGATTCATGCGAGTTCTTTCAACTTGTTTATCCACTTCTAATGCCGCAGCCGGGAGGGCAAATCTATGACGAGTTCAAACACCTTTCGAAATCTGTCTAATGCGTGTATATTGATTGCAGGAGGGGGGACTGCCGGAGTGGGGTCCCATCCAAAAATAAGACTGATTGCGAAAGAAATCTTCATGTCTCGAACAATTTGTTGCGCCTGCTCACTGCTCGAAGTATGACTTGGAGTTGGAGCTGGAGTTGGAGTTGGAGCTGGAATTGAAGTTGCTTCATTGTATATCACTGAAGTACATTCCGTTTTGTCGTTTTTTTTTTTTTTTTTTTCTTATGGATTGCTCATTTTGCAATCTTCATTTCTAATGCCACGAAACTGGCTGCAATTTTGTTGGCCGCATGCCGTTTTACTATTTGATTAGCTGGAAAATTTGCCATCGTTTAATTAAATTATGTCTGCAGTCGGTAGTAGTTGGTGCCTACGTATGGGCATCCAAATGACACTGAGCGGAAATGGCGAGCAATTTGCATGCAACGTCAGGCTGTTTTATGTCGTTTCCATCTCTTTTCCCCCCACTATTGGTATATTTATCTCTAACTCTGAACTCAAGTGAAAGGTGCGGCCTGTTGGCTAGTGTAACATGTTTTGCGGAGAGAATGGAGGTCTTGGACATTGAACTCGTTGCGATTCTAATGTGATTCCTCGATGGAAAGCACAGTTTGTAGCAGAGCTTGAAGCGTAGTAATAAATATGGTTTACAGATGCATGAAATCTACAGTTATGGAGAGGATAGATGGGCAAATAACTGTGTACAGAAACGCAGAATTTGTGCTTACTTTTAAGTCAAGGAATCATTTCAAGATCTTTGAGGTTTCTCTTTAATATTCCTCCTGATCTCTGGCACGCACATTTCAATCATCTTGACAACGTAGCAGCTAGAATTATATATAGCCTGACATCAACTACGCCCCTGTTGAAGGCAATCCACCAGCCATTACTCCCACGATCCCCCAACGTCTAACCACGCCTACACACAACCAACAAACCCACCCACAAAGGGAAATGGAACTCGTATCGCGTACAGATACGCATATATAGTACATATATTCGCATAGGAGAAGCGGAAAAAAATCGCGCTAACGAACCGAGTATGGTTCGAGGTCCCTGGTCCTGAGTCCCTAATGGCCTGCACATGTGCTACGTGGCAGCAAACGAACTGCAATCGGACCGAAATCCAACACCCCTAACACCAACACCGCTAACCCACCCGAAGAGTCGCCCAAATCCATGTGTGGAGCCAGCCAAATGTCCAAAAGAAATCGACGCAGTCACGTAAAATTATTTTAATAATCACATAACTTTCGGCATTTACACGCCTGGCAACCCGATGGGAGTAGAACCGAGAACCGAGTCCAGAGAACCAAACAAAATGTCAATAAATTCCGTGCTATTTGCAAAGCAAACAAAAAAAAAAAAACCCAAAAAGAAAAGCAAAGTTTGTAAATGCAGAAGACGAGGCCCAAGTTTTGGTGGCAACAGCGCTTAAGTGGGATTTGCAGGCCACTTTAGTGTCAACTTTAACAATAAGTTGGCCGAAAAAAAAAGCGGGCGCATAAATGCGAATCATCAGGGCCGACGAGAGACATTCACATGCACATAAGCCACAAACTTTTGGCGTCAACTGTGGGCTAATGAAATGAAGCCTCCCACAAAGCAAAAAAAAAATACCCAACTCTAGTTAAGAAGTTGAGCCAAGTCCACACAGCAGGTGACCATCACCAACGCCCAGCGAAAGCGCCCTGGTGACTGTTTCAGCTAACAATCTGTGTAGCTGTATGGGCAAGAGATACATTTCATGAAAGTCAAACCAGCTGCGAGGTCTGGGATTTTCCTTAGACACAGTCTATGTCAACAGTCCACAGTCCCTGTCTCCATCTCCAACTCCGACGCCAGTGCAGTCATTTGAAATAAATTACTCTGTGCACCTGATGACAAACTAAACAAGACCCGAACCAAACCGAACCAAGAAGACTGTGGGGGGAGCACTGTCCTGCTCGTATTTGTGTTCCCTTCCATGGCCGCATTTATTGTCATTATTATTTTGATACCGTTTTTTTTAAGGCCGTCCCGTCCGACAAGACTTCTGTTATATCTGGCCCGTAGATTTATGCCAACAAAAGCGAACAATAAAAAAATATTTATTCACATTTTAATTTTTTTTTTTTGTATTTGTTGCTTTTAATTTTGTTTCTTTCTTCTGCATTTTTGCCGCTGTCCGGCTGGAGGTCTAGCTCGAGTTGGAGCTGTTGCAGAGCGGACAACGGACAACAGACAGGGGACAGCGGACAGCGGACTGTGAACTGCGGACACCGGACAGCTGCATTAAAAAAGTTGCCAAGGAAAACAGTTTGCATTGCAATTTTTACTTGGTTTTATTTTTCATTTTTTCTTTTGGTTCTTTCTTTTATTTGATTTTTTTTAGTTCTCTTTTTCCATCGTTTTGTTTTCTTTCTATTTCTTTGTGCTTATTTCGCTTTGTTTTGTTATCAACGTTGAGCAAATATATAAATAGAAAAAGTCCAAAAAGTTTTTAAAAAATAAAAAATAGATATAAACATACAGAAATAGTGACCAGGCAGGACAGGGCGAAATGCGGGTTCCACAAAAGGTTGTCCGGTCTGTTGCAACTCTGTTAAGCCCTCCCGTGTGGCAGGCAAGTGGGTCATTGTTGCACGAGTAAGAGCACGAGTGTGGGGCATGGCTTACCGACTCCAGGCCACAAGTAATGCCAAATTTGAATGCTAGGGACTCAATCACATACAAATATTCAGGGAAACAGAGACTGGAAGATGTGCAGAAAGGCAGAGAGCTTGAGTTTATAGTTTATATTCTATAACTGCAAGCCTTTTGGCTTCTTTACCGCTAAAATGCCCCAATCCTAGGACTGTACCGCATTCATAACAGGTAAAAACTCCTGCAGGTCCCAACTCTTGGAGCTGGAACCACCCCAAAAAAAAAAACACCCATCCCGCATTGTTTTGTTAATTTCTTTTATAATTTGTGCAGTCTCTCTCCCGGTTCTGATGCATTTCTTGTGTACCCTCACCGATTTTTGCTTTGTTTCATTTTGTTTTCTTCTGGCTTTTCAGAACTTAATTAAATGTTGTCACAGCGCACACTTTGTAGTCGTCTCCATCTCCATCTCCATCTCCGTCCCAGTGCCTGTCCTTGTCCCTTTACCTCTCCCTCTCCCTCTTGCTCACCCTGTTCCTATCCGAAGGGCAAAAACGTTTGTGTCCATTTTGTTCATGTTGCTGTGTGTGACAGAAATTCGAAGTGTAAATGAAATAATAGCTGCTAAAAACCAATTTGGCGTAAATTATAAAAGCTTAATGGCCATTATAAATAGAATCTCTGTTACCACACCAGTCTGCGTTACATCCCCCCTAACTTCGGGAGGGGGGGCTGCCATTTCATCTTTGACTAACAATTTGTGCCCTTCTATTGCAGATCCGTGGAATTGATTGCCCTGCTGGCCATATCGTGCACCTTCTTCCTATTTATGCACACCAACAAGCTGAACAGCCGTCTCAAGGAGATGGAGGTGAAGCTGCAGCCGTCCGAGTTCTCCGCCCTCGGCCTGACCGGCAATCACGTCAGCGGCCACGATGCGGGCAGTAAGTAACCCCACAGATACATATCTAACGCATCACCCATCGCATCCCACAACGAGCCCAAGGCTGAATTGTGGGCCAAATTTCGCGCTCGATTGCATTTCGCGTTGCGTATCAGATAAGGCATCAATTGTGTACAGGAAGTATGGCAAAGAAAAATCATGGAGGGGCCTCGAAAAAGGTTCGACTAGAAGATGTTCTACTGAAACAGTTGTCCTAGAGGAATTACTAGGAGAATTTCCACCATTAACTCATAATAATAGTTGTATAAAACCCTTAAAAATAAGGGTCTATAGCACTTTTAGCTAGCTACAAAATATAACCAGCATTTAAATAATATATTTACACATTGTGTACTGCCTAATATACCCCACCAGGCGGACCCATAAGGTGGTAAAGCATTCAAACATCGGCTACGCCCAATTGATTTTTAATTACTACATTGACCCATGGACCTCAGACCCACAAATGGCAAAAAGAACAACTACAGTGGGACCTTTGTTAATATTTTTTCGCACTGGCTCTGGCCATAAATTAGTTGATCGTTTTAAGCTAAATTAGTGCGCATTGCTTTATGCATGAATAAATTGTAGAATATTTTACGGAAGGACACACCAAAATAGAATATCCCCTTCATGCAATAATCGGATTTTGTGTGCTGTGGGATAGCACTAATAAACTCTCAAATTAATATCAACACAATATGTATATGAATATACATATGTACATATGTATATTGTCGGTATGCATTCATAGATAATCGTAGTTGGTGGTACAAATATGTGCGGCATGCATTTTAATTACAATATGCATGTGTTTACATAGTTGATACCTTTTCTTTTTTATTTGTGAATATTTTAGTGCATTAATAAATTATTTGGGACACACAGGTGTGCTATTCACAGCCTCCCAGGGGAAGCATTCCTTTTTTTTGGAGTGAATTTAACCTTTTGACATTGCGCTAAGCGGAATTTTGTTTTGTGGCCGTAATGAATAATGCAGCATATTGATTATAATATTATTAATTCAATTAGTAAAAAGCACAAGAGGGAAATATGTGGATTCATTTCGTATGGCATAATCTTTTTCTGTGGTTATTCTGTGAAAATATATTTACCAGGAGAAACGCTGTCAAAACTCTCTTCCCATTTATCTGTGTATCTGTGTATATAGGCTACCCCCTCCAGCCACCTCTTTCGAGTACTCTCGTTAAGATCACATTACCATAGACCTCAAAGGCATTCTCTTGACACTCTTTTTCCTCTCGAAAATGTTTGCCGAACATTCTCCGAAACTAAACAAAGGCCAAACCAAAATCCATTTGAATTTATATACAATGCAAACGCATTCAAAAGTGAGTGAGTATAATAGCTGCTCCTCACGCCAAAGCGGAGATTTTTCAGAGCGGCACTTGAGATTCTGCCACTTGAGCGAGAGGCTAATGATCATCGTCAGTCGCGGACCGTAATTGGATTAATAACTCCATCATTAGGCAATGCTACTACCAACGTATACAGAGCCGGGGAGGAAAGCCGAAATCAAATCAAAACTTTCGGAAAAATGCAAAAATAAAACCCTAATTTCCATGCCGGAAGTTTTGGGTCTCGCTTAGGCCGTGCAATTCAACTTGCAAATTAGACAAAAAACGTTGCCCCAACAGCAGCAAAAGCAACATCATCAGCAGCAGCAGCTGCTGCTGAGCCACTGACGAAAGCAACAAGGTGATCTCTAGGGGAAGACTGTGGCAAGGTGATGTCTGGGCGGAGGAAGACTGGGGAAGACTGAAGACTTCACGCCTTACTGCGGTGATTGGCAACAACAGCCAGCTGGCAGTACAGTGGAACAAAGGCAGAGGGGCATTGCTGAATACTTCCACAGTACAAGATGATCATGATGATGATGAAGTCGAGCCGGATGGGACAGAGGCAGACAGACCATGCAGACACAGAGTGCACTTGTGGGCTGCCAGCTGCTCAGCTGGTGCCATCTTCATTGTGGCTGCTGGCGCTGCTGCCGCTGCTGCTGCGTCTGCGCACGCGTCAGTTGCACCGCCTCGTGCACAGACGACAGCTACAAATTGTCCCTGTTTAGGCCCCCTCCCAGACAAATTCCAGCTAATGGCCAGAAAAAAAAAAGGGAAAAATTTATAAAAATGAAAAGAAAACAAAGCAAAAGTGTGTGACGTTGATGGAGGTCTGGCCACAAGCAAAAAAAAAAAAACGAAAAAAGACACAAAAAAAACAATCTGTAAAATGCACAAACGGTTTACCTACAGCCATACGTATTCATTCATTCATAAATATTTCATTTAATTGACTCACACGACTCGCTTGGCTCGAGTACTGCGAGATAAAGACACATACATGCATTCATACATATATATATATACATATATGATGACGTACTCTTAGCAAGCTCGTTTTGGCCATCATCATGATGATGACACCGTTAGCCGGCTCTTTTCTTCTCTTTAGCTGCGTTTTGTGTGCCAACATTGAACTTGACTTGGGCTAATTAACAGCTCTGAAACGTTGCAGCCAAGTTGTGTTTTTTGGCTTGGGGCTGTGGTTTATGTCGTGGTCTAATGGCCAAATGAAGACATGACGGAAACATGACTCAACTTGAAGATTCTTTAATAGATTGTTGTGAGAATTTCCTCAGAGCTAATAGAAGAAGCGAAGAAGAACGTTTTTGTGGGAAAATCAATAATATAAATAAGAAATAATCAAAAGAATTGAGGCATGACAATGATAACTAAAAACAATCTGTAATCTGACCAACAGCAATGAAGAAAGAAAGATTGATGGACTGTGGATTCTTTAACTACAATTATTTAACGAATTCCTCCAAATAATTGCACCGTAGATATGTGTGTAAGTGTGATGGATGAACAGCTATAGTTCATCCACAAATCAATGTCAACTTGGATCGTTTACACCCTCAAAAAATCACTCGAAAAACTATCTATCTCTGACACATCAGTCCCTCTACCTGTCTCGAATCATTGTCTCCGATTAACAGAAAAAAAAAAGCAGTCAACCCAACTATTGTCTACACCTTTAACTAGCACAAGCGGAGAAGAAGAACGAAAAACTAAAGTGTAGCAATGCCAACTTTGCCCCTGGCAAAAATGCATAGCAAACCAGTTCTTTGCGCTCACTACCGAGCCGAGCAACTTTATTTTCAATTAGACAGAGACCCCGGCCAAGACTCGGATCCATAGACCAATAGCAATACGAACACCTACCTACCTACCTGCCCGGTTCGTTAGCGAGCCAAACCAAAAGTGCCTAGAGCTGAGGTCCAATTTAGCGGAAAAACTGCAAGCAGGCAATTTGCCTTGGCAGGGGCGTAACCCAGGGGTTCGGCTAATCTTAGAGTCAGGTCTTGAGATCGAGAAAGAGAAAAATGAAACATAAAATTAGACTAATGAACGAACTATTGGGCGGAATAAGGCTAGAGATTAGTGAGAACCGGAAAGAAACTGATCAGCAAAATATACAGAAAGACTTGTTGAAGGTCCTTCATACAAAAATGGTTAGAATAGAAATATAAGGGAACATATAAGCACATTTGATCAAGAAATCGATCAGCTATGCGTACAGTGGAATAAAGAGTAAAAGATGGTCAGTTGAATGCAGATACAAACATAATTCCTGGTTAACCATCAACACTTTTTCCCAGTGCATCCCCTCACAGCATTCCCTGCTTAGAACAAACTTAACTCTGGCCCCACCTCAGAATGATTCCACATTTTCCCAGGCATCATATTGTATGTGTATAAATTTGCACCACATGTTACGTTGTTCACCTTCAGCCGGCACCTGAAGTGGCCAATAACCGGAGCTAAACTCCGACTGAAGGTCGCTCTAGAACAGCAGAATAAAAAAAAATGAAAAATAAAAAAAAAACGTAACGTATTAACCAGATCACAGCCAAAGTGTAAGAACTGCATGAGACAACTGCATGGATGTGACCCAATTTCCAGACCACAAAAACAAAACCAAAACCGAAAAAAAAATATATATCTAAATAAAAAATATATAAAAGGAGAGCAGACTTCTATTTTAAGGTTTCAACCGCAAAATGTGTTTCACTTTTGGTTCAGTGACTTTGTTGTCGGTGTGGTTAAGCAGACAGAGAGAAAACCAGTTGGCCACCACTTTCATTCACATTTTTCAGAGAAACTGCCCAATTGACCAAAATGCAACACAACGAATCTGGTTTACAGGCAATTGGAGTGGACACGGGACTGGATATGGCACTGTGCATGGGGATATACACACTTCCTCGTTCAGTTCGGTTAGGAATTATGAAATACTTTGCCTAAAAAAAAAAACTCAAAGTGGTGCGATCGACCCACACTACACTTGAAAATCAAGATGTTTTCCGCATCAGACTGACTCTCTCTCTATCTCTCTCTGTGTACAAATGCCTGTCCAAATGCTCGATTGCAGTCATTTACCATTTGCTGCTAAATTGTATTGTATGCAGTGCCCACGTCTGGCCAAACTGGACAAATGCCTAAACATCAACATTTTAATTGCCCTCACGACACCGCCATCAAATGGACACGCAAAAGTTTCCATTTGCATGCGTTTTGCGTTGGTTGAGAAGGATAGTTGGGTTGGATTGGATTGGCAGACGGGGGTTGAGCAGCAAGAGGGAGTGGGAAAACCTTTCGAAATTTTGAGGATGATCCCTATCGCATCCTAAGTGATTCGGTAAAGTGAAAGGAGTCGCCGCCATGAGCTTGCATATTTATTGCACTCATCGTCATTTATTTATCAAAGCTGAAAATGGCTTCAGCATTCGACTACCCACCCCGTACCGAATATTGCATAAACACCTTTTGGGCTCACGTTGAAAGTAAAAGTATTCGGATTACTTCCTTTTTTTTGTGTGGTTGTTGGGAATCCGTTTCTAAGGTCATCGCAGGTGTAATGGAAATCGATGACAAGTTTTTCTGTGTATTTGCATCTTTAAAGACGTGAGTGGAATAGAGTTATGTATGTTTCATAGGAAAGATTGGGCGCAACAAATCCTAATTCGAATTTATCTTTCCTTTAAAATTTATTTATTTATGTATTATTATCTGTTAATCTACTGTCTTGCTCAATATTTCAGAACACGATGATATCAATACGCTGCATGGCACCTATCAATATCTGAAAAGCACTGGCCAGGTAAGCTAATCAAAAACCATTCCATAAATATATATCTTGATATATCGTGCTTATTGCCTGCCCATCATGTCGTAAACATTGTTGCATACATTATTGGTTGGCCATGAAAAAAAGTAAAGCATTTACCTACAAGCAAAATCATCGATGAAAGTCCATTAAAAGCGGAAAGGTAGCTTCAGCTCCTTGGTGTTTGATATTGCATATATGCCCTGCCCGTGGCATATGCTCTCCCACATACGCTCTGTCTCTTTCGTTCATACCTCGCTAGATACGCTCTTTCTCTGCGGCTCATACGCGCTGCCACTCTCTCTCTCTGTCTCTCTGTACGGCATCATTTGTGGATCATTCAATCGCCGTAGCATTCTCCTTCACACACACACCCACACACAACATATACAACACAAACAACACCAACATATTAGTATTTACGCAATCAGTTTAGCCCTGGTAGTCGTCTATTAGCTATCCCTACAAACTACCTATAGCTATGGCTATATACATAGCTGCCTCTATCCTATGCAGTTCTCTCCCTCTCTCCCTCTCTCTCTCTCTCTCTCCTAACACTAACAAAACGAAAATTACACTTCGACTCTGTCTTGGAATTTTGTCAGCGCAGTTTGAATCTCGTACATAAATTTGTTTTTTTTTTTTTGTTGTTGTTTGCGTGGTTAGTTAGTTGCGACATAGAAGCGATAGAAATTCGATTTATAAGGATTAAAGTAAATGAGCAAAGTGTCGAAAATGTGCAAAAGGTAAGTTGTCGAGCTATGGCTATGGGGAGGATTATTATTTATGCCCACGTATCCAGCTGTGCGCGACTTTGCGAAATCCTCAATGCGAAAAACCCGAAAAACTATTTAAGATGATGGGATGGAATGCCCAGTATGGGATGCCCATGCCCCCAGGTGCAGCCCCCACTCTCTGTTGCTTCCCAAAGAAAACCCGCTTAAAGTCTATTTTTATACACACGTATATGTATATGTATATGTGTATATGTGTATATATATGTACTATAAGTTTATGTTGTCCTACTTGTGTTGACTCGTTCATGTTCGTGTAGCTTTGTGTGTCCCACTCAATCCAACAAGCACTCCCCACAAAAACATTTTGCAATCCGGCAGCTAACACACCTGAACGCCGCACAACTGAACAACACACCGCGTGCCCAGCTGGACACGATATTCTTCAATCGAGTGACCAAGACCGGCAGCGAGAAGATGATGGAGTTGCTCAAGATCCTGGCCAAGCGGAATGGCTTCGAGGCCCGTCGCGACATCGAAGGCTTCTACGAAACGGTCCTCATGGATCCCCTTTATGCCAAGAACTTCCTGCGCAGCGATGTGCTGAACAGCACGGGACCCAACACATACACCAAGCATGTGGCCTTCATTGATTTCGATCTCTTGAACGAGCCCTGGCCCATCTACATCAACTTGGTGCGCGATCCCATTGAGCGTTTGGTCAGCTGGTTCTACTATGCCCGTGCGCCCTGGTATCTGGCCGAGCGCAGGATAACCTTCGGCGAAAAGGCAGTGATGCCCAGCGTGGACTGGGTGCAGAAGGACTTCAATCAATGCATCGAGGAGCACGATCCGGAGTGTGTGTACGAGCAAATGGAGTTGGGAAATCTGGCCGATCATCGAAGGCAGTCGCTATTCTTTTGTGGTCACACAACCTCCGTGTGCATGTGAGTAGCCGAGTCGAGAGGGGATAGATCTCAGTATTTTGCAATGGTAGTCGATGATGAGTTGTGTGGGGAGTCTATGGGGTATCTTTATCTTCAAGATCCCTCTGATCTTTAGAGTACTTTTTCTCACTCCTTGGATCACTTTAGATCTCTTCTATCCCTGTCCCAGCGCAACCCTATCAAGCTGCCCTAGCAACTGAACACCCCCCCTCCCATACCCTCTCCCAGTACACACAAAGTACAGTCCTGAAAAAAAAACCTTCTCGCAGGCCCTTCAACTCGCACGAATCGATGCAGCGGGCCAAACAGAATGTGGAGGAGCATTACGCCGTTGTGGGCACATGGGAGGATACAAACACCACGCTGACTGTGCTGGAGGCCTACATACCGAAGTACTTTGCGGGAGCCAAGGACGAGTATTATGCGATGCGCAGCAAGCTGGGCAATGTGAATCGCAACAATTTCAGGCCCACACTGAGCGCCAAGGCGCGGGCTCTGCTCACGCGCAACATGACCAGGGAGATTGAGTTGTATCAGTTTATCAGGCATCGTCTCTATAAGCAGTATATCGCATTGAAGCTGGACCTAGATCCGAAGCTCAGGGAAGCCACATAATCAGCTGTGTTCTAAATGTTTCATGAGTAATAAAACTGTGTTAATTTTCGTACTGTACTGCTTGATCTTTCGGTGTTTCCCTAACCACGTCCCAGCTTGGGCTATACTTTCGATTGGGTTGGACGAGTTTGTTAATGTTCGGCCTACCATTTGCATGTAGCTACGTGGATACAATGTGCGTGATCGCCGTAGCAGCGAGGAGCAACCAAATCCGGAGCCCGGACACACGGACACCATCACGATCATCACGCGAAGCAGCATCAGCATCAGGCGCCTCATCAGGCGCACCTGCACAAGGCCGCACACGACAAACAGTTGGCGCTGCCCGAGGAGAAGCCTCTGCAAGATGAGGCGCACTATGGAGACGACGAAGATGATGATGATGATGCTGATGGCGATGAGGAGGAGGACGCTGATGAGAAGCATGACGGCATTGATGGCATTGATGGGTTCAATTTGCAGGCCGACTTACTAAACAATACCAAATACGCTGAAGTCGATTTCGTGTTCTTCAATCGCGTACCCAAGGTGGGCAGCCAATCGCTGATGGAGCTGATGGCCCGCCTGGGCAAGATCAATGGGTTCAGTCATGCCCGCAACAAGGGCAGTGCCCACGAAACTGTCCTGATGAACAAGCAGCACCAGAACGATTTGCTTTCCGATCTGCTGACGCGGCCCAAGCCGCACATCTACAGCCAGCACATAGCGTACATCAACTTCACCAGATTCCATCTGCCGCGTCCCATCTACATCAATCTGGTGCGCGATCCCATCGATCGCATCATCAGCTGGCATTACTACATCCGTGCCCGCTGGTACTATCGCGACATGCAGGCCAAGCTGGGTGACAAAGCGCCGGCCATGCCCGCGGACGAGTTCCTAGACATGGATCTGGACACATGTGTGCGCAATCACGATCCCCACTGTACCTTCAATCAAATGCAGACCAAGAACGAGGCGGGTGACCACCGTCGTCAGACCTTGTTCTTCTGCGGCATGAATCAGAAGTTGTGCATGTAAGTAGGCGGCAGTGGATACTCCGATCTCTGATCTCTGACCTCTGACCCAATACTGAATCCCTGTTAGGCCCTTCAATTCGGTGGTGGCCATGCAGAAGGCCAAGCGCACTGTCGAGTCGGAATATGCCGTCGTTGGCACCTGGGAGGACACAAATATTACGCTATCGGTGCTGGAGGCCTACATACCGCGCTATTTCCGCAATGCCAAGGTGGCCTACTATCGTAAGCACTCTGAACTGAACTCTAACCCGGCTAGCCCCGTCACATTCACTCACATTCACATTTTTAGTGGGCAAAGATCGTCTGTCGCGCGTCAATCGCAATAATGTCACACGCATCGTGAGCGATGAAACGCGCCTGATCCTGCGCCAGAATCTGACCAACGAAATTGAGTTCTATGAGTTCTGCAAGCAGCGTTTGTATCTGCAGTATGCGGCGCTGAGTCACGGCAAGGGCTTCGGGGAGGATGACTATCTGCTGGTGCCCGAACAGCGCAACGACTACAACGAGGAGTATTAGGGGACAGAACCGAAACGAACCGAACAGAACCGAAAGACTAGCATCCGTAGGAACAAAAATTCAAAATAAATTTCTATTAGATCTAAGCTAAGCCATGTCCACAATACTAGTATGATTAAAATTCTCAGGACTACTTTTACGAGTACAGTACACAATAATACTCAATCCCCGTACTTATGTATTTTTTTGTGATTGCTTTCTGTGTGAATACAGCTTTGTGTGTGTGCCTGTCTGTCTGTCTCTCCATGTATATAGCTGGTTGCGCCTTTTGCTCTACTCTACAACTGACATTTGTTGCAGCTGTGGCGTCTGAATCCAAAGTTCCTGAACAACACCAAATACCATAGCAGGGATATACTCTTTTTCAATCGTGTGCCCAAGACGGGCAGCGAGACCCTCATTGAGCTGATGATCCGCCTGGGCGAACGCAATCACTTTCAGAACGCCCGTTCGCCATTCTCAAAGCCCACCGGAATCTATTGGTCGTTCGATAAACAAAAAGAGGAGGCCAACCGCATTCTGGATCTGATGGAGGAGGAGGCCTTTGCCTATGCCGAGCATGCCAACTATATGAACTTTCGACAGTTTCACCTGCCCCAACCCATCTATATTAATTTGGTAGGAGCAGCAGCCCCTCTTCTGTGTTGTGTTCAAAAAAACATTCCCTCATTTGTGCAGGTTCGTGATCCCGTGGAGCGGGTTATTAGCTGGTACTACTATAAGCGTACGCCGTGGAACTCCCTGCAAATGTTTGAAATTACTGGAAAATTTGAAACTCGCAGCTTTTATCAGAAAAACTTTGAGGATTGTGTGCTGACACACGACGCTGAGTGTCGCTATGATTATGGGCTGAACTTCAAAGAGGATTCCGCCGATCATAAGCGCCAGAGTTTGTTCTTCTGCGGCCATGCCCCCCTTTGCGAGTAGGTAGTCCCAGTTCCATTCTTAATTCTCTCACAATCCAAGATCCCCTTCCCCCTTGGCACGCACAGACCCTTCAATACGCCCGCGGCAGTGGCGCGGGCCAAGCAGAATGTTGAGCGTGACTTTTCGGTGGTTGGCTCCTGGGAGGATGTGAATGTTACCCTGGCCGTGCTCGAGCATTTTATACCACGTTTCTTTCGGGGCAGCACTGAGCTGTATTATGGTAAAAACCTTGCTTACAGTACACTGGATTGAGTGATAAATTGTTCACAAATTGTTTCTGCAGAGCCCGTCAAAGGTCTGGCCTTCAAGAAGCGCAACACGAACCACTGGAAGCCCAAGATCAGCGATCGAATCAAGAGCATAATGCGTGCAAATTTCACACACGAATACGAGTTCTATCACTTCTGCAAGCAGCGCTTGTATCGGCAATATTTCTCAATAAATAGACACTTGCAACTGTGATTATCACAGCACAATTCTGATTGATTAATTGAGTAGGATATTTAGTTCCAGACGAAGACGATTTGGGTCTTTTCTGTTCCACTAACTTTACTTACACCCAAAATTTTCTCTGGTGTGTAGTTTGTTTTTTGTTTGTTTGTTTGCTGCTAAGCCAATTGGAATTATCTTTATCACATTCAAGCTGGAAGAACTGGATGCTATGCGACTGAATAATACACCCAGAGCCGAACGGGAATTCGTACTCTATAATCGCATTGAAAAGACGGGCAGTCAGTCGATGACCATCCTAATTAAACAGCTGGGCGAGCAGAATGGCTTTGGCAGCTTTCGCAATGTGATAACACCCAAAAGCGATATGGTACAGACCTTTACGGAGGAAAGGGAATTTGTGCACCAGCTAATGGAACTGGCCGAACCATCGGCCTATGTGGAGCACTCGAATTGGGTGAATTTCACGGCCCACGACATGCCCAGGCCCATCTACATGAATCTGGTGCGCCACCCCATACAGAAGGTGATCAGTTCCTACTACTATCTGCGCCACCCGAAGATCGTGGCCCATACGATGCGGCGCAGACGCAATAAGAAAATCCCGGATAAGGAGTACTTCGACATGACATTCAATGACTGTGTGAGGCAGCGCATTGCTCCGCACTGTGTGTTCGATGCCCACAATCGGTTCAACGGCGACTGGCGAAGATTCAACTTGCATTTGTGCGGCAATGCGGCGATCTGCAAGTAGGTTTCTCCCTTTCTGCTGTCCCCTGCTGTCACAGTTCTCACTTGCAATCGGTTTTCAGGCAGCTAAATTCCGAGGAAACAATGCAAATGGCCAAGCGGAATGTGGAGAGGGAATACGCGGTGGTGGGCACCTGGGAGCAAACAAATATCACACTGGCCGTGCTCGAGGCCTACATACCGCGTTACTTTGCAGGTGCCGCAAAGATCTATTACTGTAGGTTCCCCCCGCCCACTGATTTATCACTGAACTCCGAGTTTAACCGCGTTCTTGATATATGTCTCTCCTCCACCAGCACAAACCAAAACATTTAAGATAAACTCGACGCCGCATGACAACAATCTGGATGAGGATGTGGAGCGTTATCTGAAGGACAGCCTCAAATTTGAGCTTGAGTTGTACCAGTTCATCATGCAGCGACTGTACATGCAGTATATAGCCATCAATAAGCAGCGATTCGTGGATATACACATCTAGTCTAACTAAGAACGATATTTAAGACTAGTTCTCCTATGATCTACGAGCAGCAATAGATTTTTACACACAACTTTTTCCCAACGCGAGTCTCTCTATTCTCTCTTTCGCTACTAATCCTTTTGCGGGCATTTTGGTTAGCTTGAACCCACCATCACAATCTCTCTCTCCAACATACCCCAACTCCACCCCACTCCACTCCCCCACTCAAAGGTGTCCTCGGTGCCTTTGCAGATACTGCAGTTGAACGCCCAAGATCTGAACAATACGCCCAAGGCTGACATTGATGTGGTGTTCTTCAATCGCGTGCCCAAAACGGGCAGCATGCAGCTGATCGAACTGATGCGTCAGCTGGGCAAGGTGCATGACTATGAGGTGGAAAAGGATCCCCAAAATGGTGGCGTAATGCCACTGCTTGAGCCGCCCGCACAGAGCGACATGATCGAGAACATTGCGAATCTGGAGGATGGCACTGTCTTTGCCAGCCACGTCAACTTTCTGAACTTCAGCAAGAGCGAACAGCCGCGTCCCATCTACATCAATATGGTGCGCGATCCGGTCGATCGGGTGATCAGTTGGTACTACTATATACGCGCCCCATGGATCTTTGTGCCCGGCCGCAGGCGCACCAATCGGGAAATGCCCAATCCCAAGTGGGTGAACACCGAATACGATCAGTGTGTGTTGAGTGGCGAGAAGGTGTGCACCTACATCGAGGGTTCGCTGCTGGAGCACGTGGGGGATCATCGCAGGCAGATTCTATTCTTCTGCGGCCACGATGAGTTCAAGTGCACGTGAGTGTGTCCAGTGTCCAGTCCAGTGTCTAGTCTCAGTCACCCTGCAATTAACCTACCCCTTAGACCCTTCAACTCGCGTCTGGCCCTGCAATTGGCCAAGCTAAATGTGGAGCGGGAGTACGCTGTTGTGGGCACCTGGGAGCACACGAACGAGACACTTGCTGTCCTGGAGGCCTACGTACCCCGCTACTTTGCAGACGCAACCAAAATGTATTACTGTAAGTCGCTGTTGGTTGTTGGGCTGTATGAATCTCTGGGGTAACCTTCGACTCTGATTGCTTACAGCGGGTCTGCATGCGGACAGGCAGAACGATAACCCCATGAAGCCGCACATCTCGCAGGATATTATCAATATTGTACGTCGGAATTTTACGCGTGAAATCGAATTCTATCAATTCTGTCGCCAGCGCTTGCACAGGCAATATATAGCCCTGAAACTGAACGATCTGAGGCGCGTGGACAAGTCCTTGGCTCAATTGGAAGCGGCCAATGAAATGGTCATCAGAAAATAGACTTACACTTAGGTTTAAAAAGTAAACGAATAAAGCAGAGAAGAAGTTCCTGAGCGCTTATTTCTATAGGGCTAGGGGCATAACTTTTATTCCGCTTAAATGGAACCCCTGAAAGGGTCCAACTATCGCTTAATAACACGAACTAAAGAGGGCAAATCTATCTCTCTCTCTCTCTTAACTCTGGTACCCATAGAACTAAGAGCCTCCAATGACCCATCGATTGATCTATCAATCCCACCCCCTGCTATCCCATATCTGCACGTATAGCTCAAGCATCTGAGCGCAATGCGTCTGAATAATACACGCAATGCCGATATCGATGTGCTGTTCTTCAATCGTGCCGCCAAAGTGGGCAGCGAGGCACTGTTGGAGCTGCTGCAGGCACTGGAAAACTATCACGATGATTTAATACTGGATAAGACGGGTCTCGCCAAGCCCACTTCGCGTCAGTTGATGAAAGACGCTCAGCGTGAAATGGCTGAATATGTGGCTGATCTGGAGGAGGGCTCCATATACATAGAGCACATCAATTGGCTGGATTTCGATGAGTTTGACCAGCCCAAGCCGATCTATATCAACATGGTGCGAGATCCCGTGGAGCGGGTCATCAGCTGGTACTTCTATGCACGCAGCTCGTACAAGAATGCCATCGAGTACCGCAAAAAGCCCAATTTGAAGATCAAGAAGGAGTCGTGGTACAAGAAGAACTTCAATGACTGTGTGAAGAGCGGTGATCCCGAATGCCAGTATATACCCCACACGGTCAAGGATGCTGTGCCCAATTTTAAGAGACAAACTCTGTTCTATTGCGGCCACCACGATGATTGTATGTAAGTACCAAAGGGGGACTCAAGGATGAGGAATACTTGCAGTGGGAAGCTCCTGCTAATGGCGCGCTCGTCCCTTTTAGTCCCTTCAATTCGGCAACTGCCGTGCAAATGGCCAAGGAGCACGTGGAACGGGACTATGCAGTCGTGGGCAGCTGGGAGGACACGAATATTACGTTGACCGTCTTCGAGCGCTATATACCGCGCTTTCTTTCGCGGCGCCAAACTGATGTATGAGAGTAGGTGAAAATCAATTTGAAAGTATAGTGAACATTGCACCTATTGAATCCAACCTTTGCACAGTGAACAATAACAGGATTGTGAATCGGAACAAGAACAAACGCAAGCCGTTCATAGAGCCCGAGGTGAAGGCCATGATTCGCAAGAATTTCACCAATGAGTACGAGTTCTATTACTTCTGCAAGCAGCGTCTGTACAAGCAGTATTTGGCACTCAATCTCAACGAGCTGGAAGCTCATGGACTGCTGAATTAGTTGGGCAGACAGGGGCTAGACTTTAGCTGGTGATATATTCCATACATACATACATACATATACATATGTACTCGTATTTTCGAACAAATTTTCCACTTAAATAAACAGTAGATACTACTCGTATATTAGACTAGACTAGATCCACACACACACACACACACACTCCACTCTGTGCATGTGTTCTGTGTGTACTCTGTAAATCCATTTTGTGTGTTATCATCCTTTTTGGTTGTGTAGCAGCAACCCCTCAGCAGCCTCTTCTAAACCCTATCCACCCCCACCCCCCTCAGTTGGATGGCCTAACGCCGCGTCGACTCAACAACACAGCCAAGGCCGAAATGGATCGCCTGTTCTTTCCGCGCTGTGCCAAAGTGGGCAGCGAGGCCCTCATGGAGTTCATGGAACATCTGCGGGATATCAATAACTTCAAAATCAGTGTCAATGGAGTGGATCGACGCACTATGCGCACGCTGAATGCCTCGGGACAGGAGGAGATGGCCGCCTATATCTATAACATGGACGAGGGCTCCGCCTATATTGAGCACACAAACTGGATTGACTTTAACGAGTACAACCTGCCCAAGCCAATCTTCATCAATATGGTGCGCGATCCGGTGGAGCGCATGATAAGCTGGTACTACTACATACGCAACTCGTACCGCCATGCCATATTCTATAGGAAGAATCCGCTGGCGCCGATCAAGCCCACGGCGTGGTTCAAGAAGAGCTTCAACGAGTGCGTGCGCAGCGGCGACAAGGAGTGCCAGTATATTCCGCTGACAGTGACCGATGTGGTGCCGAACTTCAAGCGGCAGTCGATATTCTTTTGCGGCAACGATCAGGATTGTCTGTGAGTGCCACCGCCCGTCCCGCCACCATGGGAACTGCAGCTCCCCGAACTCATGACCTTGACCCTTTGCAGGCCCTTTAACTCCCCGCTGGCCGTGCAGATGGCCAAGCGTCGAGTAGAAACTGAATTCGCTGTGGTGGGCACGTGGGAGGAGACAAATATCACCCTAACCGTGCTGGAGCACTATATACCCCGCTATTTTGCTCGTGCCACAACGATCTATACGAGTAAGCGAATCCCCAACTAAATATAGGCAAAGTCAGTTGGAGAGCTCTCCCTTATCCCCTTTTGCTTGCAGTCTATCAGCAGAGTTTAATGAATCGCAATCGGAACAATCGCAAGCCCCATGTGGATGCGGATGTTAGGGCCATGGTCAGGCGTAACTTTACCCACGAGTATGACTTCTACTACTTCTGCAAGCAGCGTCTCTATACGCAGTATATAGCCCTCAAGCGCACAGAGTTGGAGCCACTCAATTTTCACCCCTAAGCTCGCATTATTTTTGACTGAATTTTCCTTTTAGTTGTTGTTTAGTTTTGTCAGTAGTTTTGTTAATAAAGTACTCACTCAATAGACACTGTAACTAACCGTAGTTGAGAGAGCCCATGGGAATCACCTCTTTAATCCCAATTCCCCTCAAGCTCTCCACGCTGAGCAGCGAGAGGCTGAACAACACGCGACACGCACGCCTCGAGGTGATCTTCTTCAATCGCGGCGCCAAGGTGGGCAGCGAGGCACTGATGCAGCTCACCCAGACGATGGCACCCCTCAACAATATGACAGTGGTGACCGAGGGACCTTTGGACATTAATGCCCGCATCCGTGCGCCCAGAGACCGAGTGATTCAGGCGGTTTGGGTCACAGCCCTTGAGCCCGGAACCATCTACATCGAACACTGCAATTGGCTGGACTTTCACAGATACGAACTGCCCAAGCCCATCTACATTAACTTGGTGCGTGATCCCGTCGAGCGGATGATCAGCTGGTTCTACTACATCCGCAGTGGCTATCGCAACGCCATTATGCACAATCGTTTCCCCAACACGACCATGCAGTCGGAGAAGTGGTTCAAGAAGAGCTACAACGAATGCGTGCGCAGCGGTGATCCCGAGTGTCAGTATGTGCCGCAGAGTGTGAAGGATACGGACGGGAATTATAAGCGGCAATCGCTGTTCTACTGCGGCCACAATCGCGCTTGTCTGTAAGTAGCCTTGACTTTTGGGTTAAAGACAGTGACAGTCAGCTGACAGTGTTTTGCAGGCCCTTTGACTCGCCGCACGCCATTCAGCTGGCCAAGAGGCATGTGGAACGGGACTATGCAGTGGTGGGCAGCTGGGAGGATACCAATATCACACTGGCCGTGCTCGAGGCATACATACCAAGATTCTTTCGGGGCGCCAGACAGGTCTTTGAGTGTAGGTTTTTGGGCCAGCATTTCGTTTTGCTTGAACACTTTTGGGTTTGCAGTGCACCTCCTGGGGAATAACTAGTCTAGCTTTGCTTACACAACAACAACAAAACTCTGTGTGTTTCATCCAGCCCCCTCATAACCTTGTGCTTGTGTCAGTCTTTAATTTGGAGCCCAACAAAACCTTCCCAGCTACGACGCGTCCGACCAATATATCTGAACAATACACGATTTGCCGGCCTTGAGGTGATCGTCTTCAATCGCCCCACGCGCGTGTGCACAGAGCAGATGATGCCACTGCTGCGTCAGCTGGCAACCATGAACGACATGAATGTGGTGCTCAATGGGCCAGTGCGAACCATGAACCGAACCCGCACTGAGCAGCAACAGAAGCGCGAAATTCTCTGGACAACCGAGCTGGAGGGGGGAACGCTCTATATGGCCCATGCCAATTGGCTGGACTTTGAGTTGTTTGGCTACAAAAAGCCCATCTACCTGTCGATGGTGAGAGATCCCATAGATCGTGTGGTGCACGACTATTATAAGCGTCGTTCGAGGGTCAAGCGTCAGATCTATCGCCGCATGTTTCCAGGACAACCAGAGAGACCCACGGAATGGTACCTGCAGAGCTTCAATCAGTGCGTACGCAACGGCAGCCCCGAGTGTCAGTTTGTCCAGCATTCGGTCAAGGACCATGTGGAGGATTTCAGGAGGCAGTCACTGTTCTTCTGTGGCAATCATCTGAATTGTTTGTGAGTAGTGGCTTGGGGAATGAACGACTGAAGTTTGGCAATGTCTGTTCCCATCTGTGTAGACCCTTCAACTCGCCCCATGCTGTGCAGGAGGCGAAAATTCGTGTGGAGAAGGAGTACTCTGTGGTGGGCACTTGGGAGGAGAAGAACATTACCCTGACCGTGCTGGAGAAGTATGTCCCTAGGTTCTTCAATAATGCTCGCTTTCTGTACAAGTGTAGGTAGTCGTACCAGGGCAAACAAACAAAGTGTTCAAGCAAATCAAATCTAAATTCCAAATGGAAATCTACTACTACTACTACTACTATGTATATCCCCTTTCAGTGCACAGTAATAGCATACGAAATCGGAATCGCAACAATCGCAAGCCCCGCGTAGATCCAGACGTTAGGGAAATGGTAAGACGGAACTTTACCAATGAGTACGAGTTCTATTACTTCTGCAAGCAGCGGCTGTACAAACAATATTTGGCCCTGCAACTCGAAGATAATCTCCACTAAAGCAATACTTCGACTGAAGCCTTAGCCAAAGAATTTTTATCGCATGGTTCTCATTTGCCTACAAATAAATATATAGTTGGTCCCAAAAATATTCGATTTGTGTGTTTTATTAGGTGTAAGAAAAATCTCTTAGCTTAAAGCCCCCTCAAGACCCCCCCTTAATGCATATCAAACACCAAGGACAACTACAGGTAAATAGAGGCACGAAAAAGAAGTTGACACAAATGTGGCATACAGAGGAAATCTTTCTGCCAACTAACTCTATTCTAAATCCCTCACCAGATGTCCTCACTCAATGTTCGGGATCTGAACAACACGCGAAAGGCGCAAATGAATTTAGTATTCTTCAATCGAGTGCCAAAGGTTGGCAGTCAGACATTTATGGAGCTGCTGCGACGCCTCTCCGAGCGCAACAATTTCCAATTCCATCGCGATGCAGTGCAAAAGGTGGAGACCATTCGCCTGGCCGAGGATCAGCAGCAGGAGATGGCGGAGGTGATCAGTGAGCTGCCCGAACCCTCGGTGTTCATCAAGCACGTTTGCTTCACCAATTTCACCAAATTCAATCTGCCCAAGCCGATCTATCTGAATGTGGTGCGCGATCCCGTGGAGCGTGTGATCAGTTGGTTCTACTATGTGCGAGCGCCCTGGTACTTTGTGGAACGTAAGGCTGCCTTTCCCGATCTACCGCTGCCGCATCCGGCATGGCTGAAGAAGGACTTTGAGACGTGCGTCCTGAGCGGTGATCAGGAGTGCACCTACACACAAGGAGTCACGGTAGAGGGCATTGGCGATCATCGTCGCCAGAGTCTGTTCTTCTGCGGCCATGACTACGAGTGCACGTGAGTGCTGCCGCCGATACCAAAGATCATAATCATACCAAACTAATCATCATTCCTTATGCCTTGCAGTCCCTTCAATACGGTGGGTGCCCTGGAGAAGGCCAAGTTTGCTGTGGAACAGCAATATGCTGTTGTGGGGGTGCTCGAAGATCTCAATACAACGCTGTCGGTGCTGGAAAAGTATGTGCCACGTTTCTTCGAGGGCGTCCGAGATATATATGCAAGTAAGTTGCCATCATTAAAACTGAAGGGGTAAACATTTCCGCAGTCAACGAACCTTAATTGAATTGCATGAAAAACGATCTCACTCAGCTGGCACACGCAGGCACACATTGTGCACGAATCAAAGCAATAAGTGCCACTTGAAATGATAACTTGACACTGCCTGCCCACTACAAAGCCCTAACCAACAACTATGTGTGTGAACTTCTCCACTTACAGCCAGTGCCGAGTACCTAACGAAGATCAACAAGAACAACTTTAAGCCGCCCGTCAGCGAGAGTGTGAAGGATATAGTGAGACGCAACTTTACCAACGAGATCGAATTCTATCAGTTCTGTCGCCAGCGGCTCCACAAACAATATCTGGCCGCCCATTTACCGCAGCGCATTATCACAGACTCAGCACATCCGCCGGGGCTCGTTGGTAATTAGTTGGTAATAAAAGATTGCAACAAATATTTGTATAGACGAACAAGAAACACTCAAAAACAAATCAAAAACAAAAATTATACTCGAAACTGTAGTCAAGCTAAGAAGTTCCCCCAACTTATTGTATGTTGTAGCAAAGTTAATTGTTTTCTCTTGTGTATATTTCAAATTGGTTATCAAAAATACAACCCACGTATATATGTATATGTATATTTATATTGATTAGTATGTACTTAAGGTTAGTAAGACCTGAATTCGAATTGTGATGTCTTCAAGTGAACTGTTGAAATTTTTGTGTTAGTATTTTAGTTGTAAGAAAAAACCACATATAAAATAGAATATATTAAATAATAAAAATCAATATTCTAAGAACACTATCGGCTTTGGACTCTGTTGCTTTACGTCGAACGGGTAATACGAATCGAGAATTAAACTAACTGTTGGGTTCATCTCTCCATCAACTGTCTAACAAAAACGCAGAAAATACATAATAGGGGAAAAACATAACTCAATAATATAAAGCGAACTTATACGAGTGGAATATCGGGTTGCTATGGCAAAATGAAGGATAAACAATAACGAAAAATTTCACTAACTTGTTTGAAATTATTATGAACTGTGAATATTGTGTGATGCGATTTGTTATTCTAATGTATAGCACTTGTTGAATGTTGTGGCGCTCAGACATCGATTGATTTGACGCTTTTTGCTGTAAATAAAACAAAATGATTAATCATTTCAGTGCATTAATAAATATATCTGCTTTCATACCGCTTATCGCCATAGAAAGCGAAAGCCTTATCGGGCTTCATAACACAGCCAGGTCCCTCGATTATTCTGCTAATGGGTAAAACGTCGGCACCTGAACCATCGACAGATGGCAGCTCCACAACACGTTGGGGTTCCCGGAAGTATGCGGCCATTGCATCATTTTCAATCAGCTTCAGAATATGGTCATCGTACAGATTTAACCAGCCAGCGTCATTGGATCGCAGGTCTACCACCTGTGGCGCCAGACGCTGCACCAAATCAACGAATATCTGTTCGGCGGCTGCATTTCTGGGATGCTGATAGGCCTCAACATGGAGTCTGCCTCGTGCCTCGAACAAAGCATAAATGCGATGATAGTCATCAAAACGATACTCAATGCGCTGGCCGTCCGGTGATATGCGGGCTTTAAGGAATATATCATCAAAGTCCATCTCTTCGGGGCCGAGTATTTCGAGGCGTTTATTGTCGCGTCGTAGGTAGTCCCACTTGTCCACATCCAAGCCGCAGCGATGGTTGTGCACGATGTCAAAGATGTAGGCATGCCCCATCATTGGAAACGTCAGGTACTCAGTGTCGCCCAATATCAATGCCTTTATGAGCTGAACTCCACGGCCACTACCCTTATCCCGCAACGCTACTAGCTCCGAGTGGCGGGCGTCCTTGAATATGCGATCCACGCAATCCAGTGCATTCTCCTCGTGCTAAAGAATACAAAGAACGTTGCTAAGCCAAATTGATCCAAGACCACGAATAACATACATCGAAATGCTGTTGGCAAACCCTTTCCCAGACATGCGACATCGGTCCGTGGCCAATGTCGTGCAGTAGAGCTGCTATCTCTACCGCCTTGCGACACCAATCGGGCAGCTTAGCCTCATATTTAGAGTTGCGCTCAATGGCTCTCAAATGATCCTGGGCGCTTTTGTAGGTGCTGCAAGATATCGACTTTAGAATTATTTTAAAATTAATGTAAATTTTAGTGCATTACCCCAAGCAATGATCGTATCGTTTGTGATTAGCCTGTGGCGCTATCACCCATGGCACCAGTCCCAGCTGATGGATCTTCTTCAGGCGTTGAAACAGCGGGTGCTCCACTATCTCCTGTATGTGGGTCGGCAACTCAATAACTCCGTGAACGTCATCTTCGATGAGCATCTGAAAGGGTTGGGACTGGTTACTTATCAGCTCTGATATCTATACATATATATATATATATATTTATAAATGTCGCCTGATAAACATATACGTTAACTGTTTTTCGCTGAAATCGACAGCTGCATATATGTTGGAGTATGCTTCCTCTGCGACTGCCAAGCTCGAACTGATCCGTCAAGTCTCACAGAACTGGCCCGCTTCCAGAGCTTAGAGCTGGCATTTGGATCATATAAAATACCGTTTCCATGCCAACCCCACCCCATACGACACGCATATTAATGCCACAGCGCCAGCTGAGAGACGCTAAAACTATGAAGCGCTGCTGCCATGGCAACCACTTACATACGCGCGCACTGCAGGCAGGGGACCTTGCTGGTGCAACAGCTGTTGTTGTTGCTGGGACGGTTGTTGGGCGCCATGGCCATGGTAGTCCCGGGAAAGAACGACGCTGGCAGACATTCTGAACGGATTGCAGTTCCTTGATCGAACGAGAGCGCGACCGAAATACAAGCGGAAACACGGAGACGACGTTTTGACGGCTTCCTTTCACTTTTCATTTATTTATGTCATTTTATAAAAAGAGAGGCCGATAACGATAACATCCGGCGATCAAACGAGACTTAACCCACTTAACACCCCTCTATTTAAAAAGTTTAGCACCCTTTCTTAAACCGCGGAAAATAATACTGTTTGCAAAGGCTCCTTATAGCTCCATCATCCTCTTTACTTACAAAACAAAAATGACCACCGACATCTTTCACCTGTAATGCGTAAAATATGTTAAAGTAACATCAATTTCGTGGAAATATTAAAAACCCCCCTGGTCGAAAATGGGATAACGTTCTATTTTATTGATTTAAATATGTCATATATGCCACCATAGTGACTATGAACTTATAGAACAAAATATAACCGGCTGACCCTCAGAAATATACCAAAATATACTTTCTCAGTATCAAAATATACCGTAAATATACTGCGGAAAAAACATAACTTAACCCACGAAACCACGTAAATACCCACTGGTCGACAATGAGCTATAAAGCTATAGCTTTAAACAAGGGCTGACTAGTTTCTGCACTCATTGGGGCCTGAGATTACAAACACTTTCTCAATTCCATAATATTTTTTTTCCAATCCAAGCAGTTTAAGCTTATGGCGGGAAAACGTTCGTCTGTCGCGATTTATGCCTACTACATTCCAATGTAGTTGACATGTAGAATAATTCAAATAGGGCAGCTTGACCGTTATTTCGTTATCCAAACACCAGCAACCGATTCAGTTTGCTTTATTTGCTATATTTTATGCATATGTGTCCAATCTGGGCTTGGACTGCCTTTTTCTGATATGAAAGAATCTTCCTTAACCGGTTTGGATAAATTGTTTGCAACTTTCCTAAGAAAATCAACAGAAATCGACACGCAATACACGGAATAAAACAGTACCCACCAGATAATATCTATGTCATCTATATATCTAACAAAATTAGCATATAGACTTAACTTCAGATTGATATTCCAACTAAAATGAGTTAATTTAGTTCATTCATTGCCTAAGAGTCTAATTAGAGACACCTGTGCCAAAATTTCCAAACTAATTGCAGTTAATTTAATGTCATGTGATGAATGAAGCCGATTTTAAAGCAAATATTGTACCGGCTGGGCTTTCTGTCTCTCTATCACACCAGGGGGCTAGCAGCCGCACGAGGGGACAGATGGAGCTCAGGCTGAATTGAATTAGTTGTGGTTCAGAGCGCCGTCGCAGTGAAATGAAAGCGAAAGTAGTCGCTAGTTGACCCACAGATGAAAATGGAACACAAAAGAGAGCCCACCGACAAAGAAAGAGAGAAGAGAGCAGGCCCCAGCCAGCAAAAGAGAGAGAGGGTGGCACGACCATGTGTTTGCCTGCATTTGTACGTATGTACATATATCTGCATCTGCAGCTGTGTCTGCCATATGTATCTGCCTCAAAGAAATGCAATTCCCCATGTAATGGGAACTACAATATGCAATTACTGCGTCCCGAAGTCAACGCACTTTAAAAATAATAAAGAGCGACATACATATACCATACACAAATACCTGCAGCCGAGTACATGCGGGTATCGGTATGTATACTCCTCTCAGGCCCCTGGCAGGGCTGCTTGCCTCAAAGAAAATAAAACAATTAATTGTTAAATGAACAAACAAAAAAATTTAACAAACAATTCAAGAATGCAAATGTAAAGCAAACAAAAATGTTCTGAAGAAACAAAACAAATAGAATAGAAAAGCCGGCTCCACACCTGACGGACGGGCGGTCGACCCAGTGGAGAAGCGATAGAGATAGCCAGTACTGAGAGGCGAAATGAGAGAGCGAGAGTGGAAGAAAAAGAGGAGAGAGTAAGTGCCAAGTAGCTAACAATTGCTGCACGGTGGAGCAAAACTAGTCGCGGAGGTGGTTGGTATTGAAATAACAAAGATATCTTCGATTGCACACATTTAAGACACTGTGCCAATTGAGTCTTTAACATTCTCTCAATTGTTGGCCCACTCGCGCTCTCTGGCGCTGCCTCTCATGACATTTAGAACACATAGCCACCCAAAAACCGCCCACAGAGAGACGAGACAAACATAGAGAGAGAGAGAGAGAGAGAGAGAAGGAGAGCATGTATGGCGAGCTGGGAAGGTTGCAGCTTTTGGCGATACTTGCCTCAGTTGCCACACGACAGGACGGCCAAACGGGCGATCCAAAACGAGATTCAAGTCAGGGCGAAGCCGCTTGAAGCTAAAACTAGATATTCGACAAGTAAATGTATCTTTGAGATACAACGATATGAAAATTAATAAATAATAATTCAAGCGCAACGTATCTCGCTCGGCTCTCTCCCTGTTGGCTGTTTTTGCACAAAAAAAAAAGAACAGTAGCAGAAATCCGAAATAATAAGCAAAATAATTCTCACAAAAATCTTTGGTATCTGTGTATCGGAGAAAAAAAAAAAAAGAGGCCGCCGCAACGCTGCCATGCGGTTGTTGGCTGTCGGCTGTCGACGCTCTGCTCTGCTCTCGCCTCTCGGCCGCCAGTGGGCGAAAGACGCAAACTGGTGCGACCTTGCAATGCCCTTGAATGACACTCTTATTGCGACCAAGTCGCCAATGTTGCCACTACAACGGGCGCTGCTGCCACGGCTGCCACTCAGCGCTGGCACAAAATCATAATAAAAAATAAAAATATAAATTAAAATTACAAACAAAAAACAAAAACGGATTCCAAAACAAAACAAAAAAAATATTAAATATAACCGTGAAAATTTCTAAAAATTTAACCGCTATTCGTGTGGTGCAGCCCGAGTGAAGTTTTGTTGTAGTAGGAGGTAGGCGCCATTCTTTGAGAACCCTCAAATCTAAACACAAGCCGCATCCTTATCAAACCAAAGCCTTAACCCAAATCAAAAAACCTTTGAATGGAACGTGAGTGAACACAATAAATTTAATTAAATTAAAATAAATTAAATTTCGCCAAAAATATAAAAAAGCTTAACACAGAAATAAATGAAATAAAACATATCTCAAGGAAATACCAAAATTCCATTCAAGGAAAGTGTTATCTAAGCAACTAGCGCCCTCTGGTGGCCCCAAAACGCAAAAGTGAAGGTTTATATATGTACACATGTATGTGTGTGTTTGTGTGTGAAAGTGAGTAAAAGTGAAAGTTCACGACTGACACAATCCTGTGGTAACCTTTCTGCCCCACATATTGGGTCACTTTCTTGGACGACTACATAACGGCAACAAGGCACGCAATACCTAAAAGGCAAGAGGCGCCACATACACACATTATATAGTATGCTATATAGAGAGAATCGGTATATGTAGGCGATATTTATGCGACAACTTTTGACAACCAATTCTTTTTATTGCCAACGCCTCTGCGAGTGCCAGATGAACATTGGCATAGGCCAAAAAGGGAACGCCTTGGAATAATATTAAAACTACAGGTTGGTAATAATTCCATCATATTTCCTATATATAAAGGTGGAAAAGCATAATTAAGTGCGTGTTCTAGATTTAGTACATACATACATATATATGCAAAACGATTGCGTGATAATTCTTTCTGCCTCTTTTTTTTGCAATTACCATGTGCGTGTATCCATGAGATACATTTGACATTGATTATGGCATCTAAAGTCATTGGGCTTGGAAGCTGAGCTGAGCCAAAAAACATGAATTAAACCGGAGAGCGAGAAGAGAGTCTCCATGAAGTTCAATTGGAAACAAGTTCAGGGAGTTCAAGTTTCAACTACCAAGCCATAATAATTAAGTTGAATTAGTTGTGTGTGTATTCTATAGATTGGAAATAGATATAGGGGCTAAACCGGTTTATTGTGCCACAATTTCTGAAGTTCTATCAGATCAGATCAGATCAGTTTAAATGCTTCTGATTACGATAGTTCGAACACAAGAAAATCGAAAATAATAAGGCACAGAATCAGCTCCTTTCTATACTGCCACAGGAATAATATTTACCCACTTTCATAATACTATTATTACTGTATTACTTCACGTACCCAAATGCTTACATAAGAAATCTCCCTCCCAGGACCGCTTCCTTAACCATGCCCAATCAAAGCAAAACAAACCAAAACAATGCTCGTTATCACACAATCTATAGGCAAAACACAATCTCGAACCCCATCTTCAAACCCAAACAATAATAGGAGGAAAACGAAAGCACGCTGAAAACCGAAAGTATCTGCCCCCACCAGCCGTGGTACGTATCTGTGTATCTGTAACTGTGTTTTCAGAACAGCGCAAGCGTTTTTCCTGTGGGTGGGCTGGTCACGGCGCTTGGCTTTGTTTGCTTTTGACATTTCGTTGGGTAGCAATGTCATACAAATATAAATAAAAAATACAAAAAAAAATATACAAAAAAAAAAAACACGCGCCAGCCGAAAAGCAGACAAAAAATGAGTGAGAACACCACCCCCACAACCACGGGACGGGGCACGGCACACACGCACTCACACAAACCCAGGGTATCTGTTAGATACAACAACAACCAAATTACCGACAGTAAATTAGCGCTTGAAGCAAGGCTCGTGAAAGCTATTCCGTATACTCGAACACACATTGATTGTTATGGAACTTCAATGCAAATCGATTTCCAAATCCAAAGCAAGGCACAGGCAAGAGGAGAAGAGATATCCTCCAAGGCGGCGCCGCGCGTGTTGCATACATATCTGTCTGTCTGTCTGTCTAGGTTTTTAGCTAATTTACCATAAAGAAATATATATTCTTAATTTTGGTTTATTTATAAATAAAAAGGAGAGCCAGTCAGCTGTTGTGGTTTGTTGATGGAGGCAATACACACATACAAACACACACTCGAACACATACTACGAGTAAAACGTGGGAGGCACTTGCCGGTCTGAGCATTTTTGACAGGAACTTATGCCAATGATATATGCGACAGTGAATGACAGCGTCTAAATGCTCTCCAATGTTGTTTGGTGCTCTATTTCAAAGTATAATTCTTGCCACAAATTGCCTTATCTTCAATGTCATAAATCCCCCTCGAAGATCCGCCTATAACTAATCATATTTTTAGCTATTCATATATGTAATTCCATTATTAGATTAACCTCCAACATTTTTAGCACCAATCTTATCTTATCGCTCTTTGCTGAACAGAATAACGAATAAATGTCTTAATTAATTGATTGTTTAGACTTTAATGACTGCTAGTTGTGGCTGGATCTGTCTAAACCTGTTTGTTTAGTAGGGCAGGCAGTTCAACGATCCGCTCAAAGCAGATCTCTTATCAGCTGCTGCTGTCTCTGCTGTCACTCATCCATCTAACTTGAATTGTTGAGCCCTGCAAAATCGGAACTGCTAACTATAACGGCGCCTATGTCCAAACAATCACAAATTGGCGTTGAACCCATAAACCTAATCGCAGATTTAACCAGCAACAACCAACAACCGCTAGCTGATAAGACGCATATCGAATATTGGCCAGCATGGAATAGCAACCCACAATCACAGCGGGCGGTGGTCACAGAAACAGACTTAGAGAGGAGAGAGCAATTAGACACGCTGATCGCTGATCCATGCTATCTATCATATATTTGTTTTATCTTTAAGTGAGATATCTAACAGATTAAGTCAAATGTTTGAGTATTTACCAATTTATTGCAGTAATTTAAATCTGTTGCTTGGCATAAACGAAACGGTAGTACCCTGGAAAGAGTACTCTTAAAGAATATTGGTTTGATAAATTTATAGAATTTTGGACACATTTTTAAGCTAATTAAATGAATTTCTAGTACATTAATTTCAAAGAAAAATTGATTAAAATTTCAAATGAAATGACAAACCATTTCGCTAAGTGTACCATCCCCTATTCGCAAGGGTGTTTCGAGGAGCAGTTAGCCAAGATTAATACTGAGACAGACATTCGAGGCTGGCGACGTCACTGATCACGAGCAAATGTCTATAGAAGCGACTGCCTGACGGCCGCTGCACAGCATCGACATCGACAACGCCAGCGGCTGCAGTTACCTTTTGGGATGCACTGCGACGACTACACATGCAAAGAAACACACAGACACAGAGATACAGACACAGACACAGATGCAGATGCAGATACAGATACAGCAATGGATGGATGAAGGGAGAAGTGTTGGAGTGCGGACTGAGGGCGCGATCAGTGTGAGGGCAGCAGCAAGCAGACAACGTTGGCGGTGTTTGGCTGCGATTTGCGATTCTGGTGCACTTCGAATTCGTTTCGTTTCGATTCTGATTCCGATTCGATTCGATCCGAACCGATCCTCTATACTGCCTTATCAATCAGCTTGAATTTTTTTGCTGAATGCCAAAAACAAAACAAAACAGATCGTTTTTGTATTCAGTGCACCGCCGACACCGTGACGCTGCAGACGTGCTGCAGTTTCGAGTTCGAGTTTCGAGTCTGTGGATGTCCGGTCTCCCAGATGCCAACTGCCCGATGCAGTAGTTCCATCGGTGCCATCTCAAGCAACTAATTGCCATAACATTTACGAAAGTGCGAGACCAGTAAAAGTTGGGCTCTAATATCAGTGGGCTATCAACCAAGTGGCATCGATTATATCACCAATCTGTCTGGCCGCGATCGAGTGTAAGTGAGTGCAAAAGGCAGCACATTCCGGGGGTAGAGTGCACCAGGGAGAGTATCGGGACGAAAACAATTCCCGGTCCGGGTCAATTCCGATTGCTATAAATAAAATTACAAATTTTGTTATCAACATTCATAATCGAAACGCCGCCGCAGCACGATTAAGAGCCTTGGGATTGCTACATTCCTACACCCACCAGAACCCGGGAACCGAGTACCCATCGCCCATTCGGCCACATTGCAAATATCATGTGTAGTTCAGGTGATAAGCCGGCGACCGGCAAATGCTAATTGTAGGCCTAGAAACATCTAATCGAACGGCTAATGGCGCATCTACATATAACCAGGGAAATGCTTCGGAGCAGTGACTAACTAATTGACATGACAAAATGCATCTATGCGATTCCAGTGATAAGCTACTCTCTCCCTCTATATCTCTCTCTATCTCAGTTCGTGCTGTGGCGCATGTCCGATCATCAGTTTGTAAATATTTTAAAAGTGCTGCGAATTGGTCTGATGGCTTTGAAGATATTCTATACCTTATTTTACGACTGATTGACCATTAAAGCGACTGTGGTATAGAATTCAGGACTGGTAACGGATCAGTGATCAAAGATCGTGTTTCATTTGTGGTGTGTATAAATGCATTCGAAAGTGCGCCATTGAGATTTGACTTGCTGATTGAATAGTTGGGCATGCAAAATCTTTCAGATAATTCTTTATTACCAATTGAAAAACAGCATCTTACATAAATATTAAATTTCGCAAGCAGCTTTGAGTGATATTTTTTAGATTAGTTTTGAGGCAATATATATTTAGAGGATGGCTCCCAAATAACTTTGACAAAATGCGCACCTCTTGAACAATTTAAGTAACACGCTTATTAAATTATGAATAAACACAGAATGTATCTTTTATGTACGAAATTGGCACCTCAACAGCACCTTGACTTCATTCCACAGACAGCCACGGGCGATGTGAACCAATCAAGAATAATGCAAAGTTATTTTTATTGCGTTAACCACTTGAAGTAATATCAATTCCTCTACATTTCCACCAATTTAATTCAATTAAGCTGCTTTATGGCTGTCTCCCAATTCTCCGCAGTGCGTGTATCGCAGCATCCAAGTACAAGTATCTTTCGGTTACAGTCAAAACAAGCCAAAGAAGATTCACCCATGAAGAAAGTGAGCAAATGGCAAAAAAAAAAAGAGAATAGAACGGAAATGTTACTTTTGCCATAAAACAGAACTGAAAAGACGAACCCAGACATACATATGTTGTCGTAGATTTATTTATAGAACTCTTTTCATTTTGTTTCTATTTTATTTATTTTGTTTGTTATGCATATACTTTATTTATAAACTGTGAGCTTGCAGTAGTAATTAATATTTATATGTGTAATATTTGTAGGCAGAAACAGAAAGAAAGTGGCGAGAGGAATACATATAAATTGAAGAGAAAATGTGTAAGAATTCCATGCAATCAGCCTTTTTATTCTTCGCTGATTTTCTGAAATTTATCAACACATTATGTCAGGCTTCAATGAATCTTTAATTCATAAATTACTTTTTCCACCGAGTACATTTCTCTCTTAAATGTGTATATTTAATTTTTGTAATCTTTTCGGTTTCTTTTTTTTTGCGTTTCTTGGTCCAACGTCATCTGCACCCAAAACGCATTTAGCCACTTGGCATACAGCCAAAAACAATTTCAACCTATCTATAAGAAAAAGAGAGCAACGCAAAAAAATGAGTAAAGGTTGAGGCCCGAAAAAGAAAACTGCAATCGGTCGCCGTACCCAAGGGATGACTGTGAATCATGAAATATGTTCGTGCCATAAGGTGCCACATCGCCTACAGATTCCTACAGGGGAATCGCTATATACATATAATGTATAGAAAATACCTATGTACATATAAGCCGACAGGCAAATTAAGGAATTTTCAAAAAGATCGGCATTTTGACCTCCTTAATCGATCGATTGTTGGACGATCGTTTATTTTATTTATTTTTTTACAAATTTGTTGGTTTTATTCATTTCTTTTGCTTAATTAAATTTCCTATGCAGGCTGCCAAAAATAAAAAGTAAAATATTTAAAACCGAAAGACGAGACAAAAAGTAAGAAAAGTCGAAACAAAAAAAAAACCCAAATAGACAACAGCAGCAAAATAAATGCCGCAAAAAAAAAAGTTCAAGGCCAATTGACATTGTCTCCGCCTCGATTGGCGCATCTAATTTCGAATGGCACTCTGATGTCTTAATTGGGCGGCCACCACTTCCCCTATCTCTATCTCTGTCTAAGTATCCGCCTTCGTCCCACTCTGGGAATGGGCGTGGCTTGGCGTTTCACCTAGTCAAAGGTAAAGCACGTGCAGCTATGCGGTACGGTACCCAAAACAATAGCAAACCCATTTGCCAAGAGCAAAACAAAGCGAACAAGAAGTGTTAACAACAATTTGTTATGGTCACCTGCTTCAACTTGTGGGGTATGGGGGGGATGTCATCAGGTTTGTCTGGGTTTTCGTCACATGTTTTCATCACATGATTTATACTAAAAAAATCAATTCACGCACGCATAGAGCTTTGGTAGATCATTAAAGGGTTCTGATTTAATTATAAACTTTACTTAGTCAAACTCCCCCAACTATAAAGAAAATATACTCTCTTTTCCCACGCAAATTTCTGCACATAAATACCCCAAAAAGATCTATTAAAATTATAATGACAACCAACTAAATCAAATCGTCTAAAAACGGCAAGAAAATATGCGCTGCAGTTAATGAATAAAAAATGATATAGAAATCTTTATATGTACATATTTTCCCCAGCTGTTTTCAAGCATTCAAGAAAGCAAAGAGAAAGTGTTGAGGGAAATTTATTTGTTTACTTGAACCAAAACAACAGCAGAAATTGCCTAATATATAACTCACGTCATATGCTACATTTCGATGGTATTTTATGTTCTATATTCGCAGATATTCCGGAGATCCGCTTGCAATATACCACACTCTGTTTGTGTCTGTGTGTGTGGCGGAGACGTGACGTGACGTAAATGAACGATCCCGGCGATATACCATTGACACACAGTAGCACGCCGGACAGCAGGCCGCCCTGCAGCATTATCTCAATCATACCAACCATAGGGATGTCCTCATGCCGCGGCCGGGCCGAGGCATTCGCACGGAGTCTGTCCTCCAAGCTGCGCACCTTGGGAACACAGGTAAGATTAAGAATCCTTGAGGATTACATTTTTTTTTCCAGGGTAACATTTATTGAACTGCCTGCACTCGCTTTGTATGTGTGTTAACTCTGTGTGTGTGTGTGTGTGTGTGTGTGTGTGTGGGGTGTTTATGTGGCATTCTTGAAATACTCCTCCTTGCCGGACTCGTCCGCCTTCATGCCCTTGGCTCCCACCTTCCAGTTGACGGGGCACACCATACCGAACTCATCGCTAAACTGGTACGCCTGGATCAGACGCAGTGACTCGTCCACGCTGCGACCGACACCATTGTCGTTGATCGTGATCTGTCGCACCTGACCCTCGCGATCGATGATGAAGGTGGCGCGCAGGGCCAGGCCCGTCTTCTCATCCAGCACGCCATAGTCCTTGGCTATCTTCATGGACTTGTCCGCCAGCAGCGGTATGTCCATTTCGCCCAGGCCGCCCTTCTTGCGCGGCTGAGCCATCCAGGCGCAGTGCACAAAGTGGCTGTCCGTCGAGCAGGCGACCACCTCGCAGCCCACGTTGCGGAACTCCAGCGCACGATCGCTGAATGCCTGCAGCTCGGTGGGGCAGACAAACGAAAAGTCTGCGGGATAGAACACCAGCAGCACATAACGGCCACGCAAATCGCTCAGCGATAGATGACGAAAGCCCCCGGCCACGACGGCAATCGTATCGAATTCTGGGGCCATCTGACGCAAATTTAACGTCTTCATCCTGGCGGCGTTGTGGGTTCTACTTGAATTATTTTACTAGTTGGAGCTTTGGCTAGGGAAGTCGATTTTATTCTGAGACTACGACTGGATTACTGAAAGAGTTATTCGAATGTTACGATGGATTTGTTGCGACTTACTAAGTTTTACAGCATATTTCGATATATTTCCTTTTTAATCAAATCTAATCTCTCTCTTTCTCTGTGTCTCTCTTTTGTTGCAGGCGAACGAGGAGGGTGTGGAAAATGCCGAGGATGAGCCCATCATCAATGGCACCAACACCAATACCTGGGTGAATGCCCACGACTCTGAACAGACTGTAACCGATCTGCAGCCGCTGCGCCACGAGTCCGATTCATTTTTCGACTTTGACTGTGAACTGGAGTCGCCGGGCAGTCCGGTGGATGAGTGCGAGTACCTGCGTCTGATTGAAACCGCCTCGAATACGCCACACAACTCAACGGCCGAGTCGGGCTATGCGTGTGCCTCGGCCGCCAGCAGTCACAGCAGCAGCACCGCCGATGGACCCTACTTCGATGCCACATCAACATCCGCATCAGCCGTTGGCTCAGTGATTCCGGATCAGATACTGGTCACGGTAAATGCACAGGCACTGCACCCCCAGGCCACAGAGCTTGGCCAGCATTCAGCCACTGAGTTGAATGACTCTGTGAATGCATTGCCAATGAATGGGGGACACGAGCTGACAAACGGTCAGCAACAGGAGCAGCAGGAGCAGCAGCTGGCGGAGGAGCAGCAGCAGCTGGAGCAGGAGAAACAAAAGGACACAGCTGAACAGAAAACTCAACAGCAGAAGGAACTAGTTGTGGATGTGTTGGATCAGGAGGATGAGGCGCTTCTACAGGCACAAATACTCAGCGAACTGTTGCAACAGAGCGACAACTTCAAAGCCAGCGGCGGCGGCATTGTGGTACAGGCTCCTCTGGAAGAGCCCTCCACTCTGACCAATGGTCACGTGGACGCCGAGGAGCAGCTGGAACTGAAAGATGAAGTCCTGGATGGGGCCGACAGAACGTTGGAAGAGAGGATCTACGATGTACCGACACCCGACAGAACTTTGGATGCCTCCGCATCGCCGGAAAGGGATGCGACTGCCGTTGTGGACACCTCCCCCGATAGCGGTGTCGATGAGGCAGACAAATCGGTGGCAGCTGACCCCGCCACCGGCAGCATCCTCACAGTGGATGTGGATCTGGTCCAGCTGGAGCAGGCCAAGCTGGATGCCGCCGAGGCGGCGAAGAAGTCGAGCCACAGCCATGCCATAGACACCACAGACGATGAGGACGATTGCCGGCCGCAGCGGGTGAGACGCTGCTCCTCGCTGAAGACGGGCAAAACGCCACCGGGCACGCCCGGACGCAAGAAGATTGTACGATTCGCGGATGTGCTGGGCCTGGATCTGGCCGATGTGAAGACCTTCCTGGATGAGATACCCACAATACCCAAGTCGGCGTTCGAGGATCTGGAGATACTGGAGTCGGAGCCGCCGATGCAGATGGGGCCCAAGTCGGACAAGCTGCTGATGCCGCTGTTCCAGCAGCCGGGCGGCCTGCCCACATTCCTCGATGCGGTCAGGGAGAAGCAGGTCTCGCTGGAGAATGCCGCCGTCTCGGACAACATCAACCAGACGATATCCGGTTCGGTGCGCGTGCGCAATCTCGACTTTCACAAGTCCGTGCACATTCGCTACTCGCTGGATGGGTGGCGCAGCTATGCGGACCTGCAGGCCAACTACGTGGAGAACTCCTGCGACGGCTTCTCGGATAAGTTCACCTTTGTGCTGTTTGGCAATTCGATGCATGTGGGCCAGCGGCTGGAGTTTGCCGTGCGCTTCCAGTGCAAGGGCCAGCAGTTCTGGGACAGCAACTACGGGGCCAACTACTGCTTCCAATGTTTGCCAAGCTCGACGCATGCCACCAGCGCATCGCCGGCGTCCGTGGCGACTGGCGCCGTGATCAGGCATCATAGTCACAGCACGAGCATGGTCGGCCTGCTAAGCCCCACGGCGGGCGATGCCTGGTGCAGCTCATTCTACTAAGCGTTTTTATTTGGCGCGGCTCGGCAGACAATCCAGAGCTGTGGGCTCCCGTGGAGGCAGTAGTATGCAACCTCAAACCTCGAACCACACTCTCCCCTCCCACCACCCACCATAGGCGCTACGCCAATGCCTGGAACATACATATGTGTGCATGTGCAGCCCCATATTCCAGGGCCTTGTTGTGGCGTGTGCCAGATGATATATACAAACCCATAGAGACAACAGTTCAGATGATCGGCCTGTTAGATCGGAGATCGAACAAATCCAGTCCAACCCCCCTGCAGGAACAGAAATTGTTTATATTTTTATAGAGCGGAATGCAGTGTGCAGGATGAGAGGAGCAGCCAAAGGAGCCAGAGAGTAGTGCGAACAACAAACATAAATAAATATGAAGAGGAGAGGAAGAGCCAGCAAAGTTCGAATGAATCCCAAAGATAGTTGTTAGTCGTATGTTATAAGAAGAGCAAGTGATAACAAACAAAATAATATCTGATCAGTTTCTTCAATGTCTTCTTCTGTTTTCCGTTTCCCGTTTTCAAACCCCTCCCCCGATGCCTATTTCTATTTGGTTAATTTTTACATTTCCCCCAAAAGTGTTTGTCTAGTATGTGGAAAGCGTTTTGTGATCTTCCTTAGTAGAAGTTGAACTGCAATAGCCACAATTCATCAGCACAGTTCCAAAAAGAGCACAGAGACCAAAGTCAAAAGTTAACTATGTATAAACTGAACAACATCCATTATCTAGTCAAATTGAATTTACTTTTGAGACTTCATGGCTAGAATCTCTCCATAACGATAACGATTTCTCTTGCCAATATCCATCAAGCGATCATGGAACACTTTCCATTTGAAACGAACTTACTGAACAATAACAAACAAACAAACAAACAAACTACCAACCAAACAACGCCAACTATTTGTTTTATCTTAAATGTTGAAAATTTCCCTTTTATTGTTTTTGATTATTATGATTTTTTTTTGACTATTCTTTAATTTTTAATTTAAACACATATTTCAATATTTTCTATGTATATGTTCTATCGTAATATTATATTATATTATATATATACAAAATAAAATAAATATAAATTTTAGTTAATTTTTGTGCCTTTCGTTGATTCCTTTCATTTGCGTTCAAAGCGAAACTCTTCTTATCCACCAGATGCAACAACAACTACCACTATATATACTATATACTATATATCAGGGATTATTAAGCGTATATATGCATCTACGTTTAACAATTAAATGCAACAGACAAAACGCAGCTACCTCAAACGTTTTCGAAATGAAAACAAACCAAAAAAGAGAATAATAGTTAAAACAAAAAATATTATTATATATGTTTATTGCATAGCAAACCATGTAAGAGAATATACCAAAAAAAAACAAAAAAACAAAAACCAAAGCAAATAAAAACCAACTTTAAAAGTTACAACTATTTACAGACACATGTAAACAAACAAAAAAAAAAAAACGAAGAAGAAATATTAAAACAAGTCCCCACTTCCCTACCCCCGTAACTAAAAGTTTTAGACTGAAGCGTGAGTATTTCAAGAAATTGTTATGAGATCAGAACTCTGCCCCCAAAAAATCCAGAATTATGTTAAAGTTTTTTGGTGTGGGCGGTGGGTTCCATTTCACACACACACACACACATAACAAAACACAAATAATAAAGAAATTCAAACTAAAACAAAAGCAACAAGAAATAGAATAAGAAATAAAGCTTTTCTTTGGACTGGAGTGGACTGTGTGTCTTTTTGTGTGTCTTAAGAAACATTGGCAAGAGCTCACATCAAGTAAGTAAAGACATTCCATCTATTTTGTTTATGCTCTGAAGCATTTACTGTATTTAGTTTTGTCATTTAGCATTCAAGTTTTGTGCACGAATTCACTTTTCATGGCTCAAACGCAAAAAGCCAGCGCTGGGCTTGGCCTGTGAAAGTTCTTTCAGCAGCCGAATGAGATTAAGAACTCTTTCATTCATTCAATATTTTTATGCAAATCATACACACACTCACATTTCATATAAATAGTTGGCTTAGTTTATGAAACAAGAGGCATTTGCATAGCATTTACGTATAGACACGATAATAATCGCCAGACAAAATGTATAAACCTAGGAATGAGCCATTCCAACGGTAGTTTCACCGATTCTCTGCGACATTCTCTTCGCCATTCTCTCTTGGATCTGTGGTTTGGGTCGATATAAAAAGAGCTGCTGGTGAGATGATTTTGGGTTAGTTTACAGAATGAAGTCGCGTTTGAGTTACTGGATTATCTTTGTGCTGGGTGTGCTGCTGCTGCCGGAGATTTCTGCGGCAGGCGGTGATACCTCTGGGCCGCGAATCTTCACGGTGATGGCCGGCAGTCCCGCTCCAGCTCCGGCTCCAGCGCCGCCACCACAGGAAGTGATCATAACCGGGGACCACGACCATCATGGCTATCACGACCATCATGGGCCGTATCCGCCGCCAATCTATCCGTATCCACAGCCGCCACAGCATTGTAATTGCCCTCCTGGGCCCCCAGGGCCGCCGGGCCCGGTGGGGCAGCCAGGCGTGCAAGGATATCCGGGCATGAAGGGTTCCAAGGGCGATCAAGGGGACAAAGGAGCACCAGGCGAGAAAGGCTACCCAGGCTTTCCCGGCATGCCTGGCCCCCCCGGCCCCCCCGGCCCACCAGGTTTCCCAGGCGGCTCGCAACATCATCGAGCTTACTATCCAGCACCTGGATACCCTTCACCAGGATACCCTTCACCTGGATACCCTTCCCATGGATATCCTTCACCTGGATATCATAATGGAAATTATGATTACGGACATCATGGCGATCATGGACACCATGGAGATAACGGACACCATCGCTACTTATCGAATGATGAACAGTCCTCTGCCGAAGACGAAGACGATGCCGAGGAACAAGAGCGAGCTTTTGGTGAATTAGAAGAGCAGTCGATTGGCCAGCACCAGCGACCCATTCTCTTGGCATTCAGTCATGTGGGAAATCCATTTGCCACAAAGTCAAATAAAAAACGAAATTAAATTGTAGTTTTTACTGGGAAGGGAAGTTGAAAGGAAAGAAGGAGCCACGTCGTGAGGCGCATGTAAGGCGGCGCCTCTACTTTTATGCCAGTTACCACTAACCAAAGACAATATAATAGCAAGATGAGTAACTCCATACAGTAAATAGATGTGCAAGTGCATAAAACGAAGATACACATACTTGCTGCTGGGCTTGCTGTCATGTGCCGAACGCGGCAGACACCAGAGCCGAAGACCTGGGAACGTCCGTTGAAAATTCAGCTGCGACATATTCGTTGTACAAACTGGCACATCTATATAATCAGTAGATATTATATAATACATCTATACTCTATAAATCTATACATCTAATACTCATCTAACTATTATATTGTCTTTGCCGGGTATAAAAAGATATTTCGCTTTTGAGTCGCATTGAATTTCTTGGGCGAACTTGAAACCTGCCTAACATTAATGCTAATGGTTTCCCATACTCACAAGACAACTCGAAAAATGAAAACTTAGCAATAATTTCAGAGCTGCTTAACTATTAGCAAACATCATCGTCAATGGTGGGTTCCTCGTCGCCATCGTCTTCCTCGTCCTCCTGATCCAGGACTGTTTGCGAGGCGCTGACCTCCGCAAAGTCATCCTCCATATTATCCACAAAACTGGACACCCTACACAAGTAGAAAGCAAACAATCAAATGCAAGGCAAAGTTTTGGTTTCTCTTCCCTCACTTTTCAAAGTCGCATTGCGGCAGGAGACCCTCGTCCTTGGCTGGACTGAATCGCAGCAGTGTGCAGAGCCGCAGCAGGCCGAGCAGCAGCAGGAACATCCCAGCCACATAGCTGAGCCACAGATTGTGCGGATAGAGTATCAGGCAGATGCCAATAATCGCATAAATGGGCGTGGGGCGCCAGCCGCCACTAAAGGCGGACGACACACGCCAGCAGCCCAAACAGCCGCAGGACCCTCTGGGGCTCCTCTGATAGTTATCCCTGGAAGCAATTAAAATCGTAATCATAAATATAGTTATATAATAAATGTGTGTGTGCCCACTCACTCGTAGCACTGAAGCTGCAGGAATAGCGTGACCAGCCACTTGATCTCGATGAACATCACCAGCAGCGCTGAAAAACTGACCAGAAATTAGCCAAAACTCTTCATTGGGAGGATGTTTGCCACCCCTTTAACATGGCTTACAGTATATAGAGTCCCGCTTGGAAGCCATGCATATAGACATCGACGCCCACACCGCAGATAACTGGAATGAAAAATGGCTTAAGAAATGTGCCTTGGGCAGAAGGTTTTGGGTATCCTGTTTGTTTGGGTATCTTAAGCCAATAGCCCATAAAATATTGTGATTGTGTATGTCTAGGCAAATATATTTATAAGCATATTTATTGAGTTTGAGGCCTTTTTGTCCACTAAGCCAGGGCCATAAAATGTAACCAGAAACCACTGAGGCAAAGCGAAATGGGTTTGGCGATGTTTTCTGAGTAGGAGAATACACATTGGATTCATCTTTCTGCAAACTTCACAAACTGCTCAAGCAGCCCACTTAAATATTCATATTCTGACCACATTATTATGGGTCTACCCCCATTGCCCGTCTCGTCCGTCGACCGCTTTCAATGTCTAAGATATGGCCCCCACCCCATTGCTGGCCCAAAACCACACAAAAACTCAATCTAATTGAGTTGTTTTTATTATGCCAAGCCGCGAAAAACAAATCAGATTAAACCAGTTAGAGAATACATTCATTCCTTACATATTTCAGTGGATATTCCGAAACCAAAGCCAATTACATTAAATGCTGTGAACAGAATAAAACCGGCAACCGAAAATCGAAAAAAACATGAAAAAAAAAAAAAAAAAAAATATCTGGATAATTGAAAGGGATGGGGATGGTCGGAGGAAATAGATTCTCTTCTGGTAGCAGTAGCTTAGGGCGGTGGGTAACATGGCAAAATGGCTGGCGCCAAAAGGCGCCAACAACAGAGCTCATTGTCGAGCGTATGGAAAAGTTGCTTTTGGGGGGGGGGGGGCAGAAAATTCGAGCAGTGGGAAAATGAAGCTGCTTTTGGCACAGGATGCGAACTGTGAGCTGCATGCTGCATAAAGGCCAATGCCTTGTTAATGGCTCCGACACAGGATTTCCCCTGCCCCACTCTCTGCCATGCTTCGGGGTTTATGAACTATCAAGTTTCTTGCCTTTTTTATGCTGCTGCATTTTTAACCCCCACCCCTACAACAATTTGTAAGGAAATTAGTTTGAACTTGACCCAAAGTTTTTGTTATGCTGCAGCCCAGCCATTTATCATACGAGTATGTTGAAAAGGGGCAGGATATTTTCCACTATTTAAAACACATTAAGGGCCAGTCGGCCATCCTGCTCAGTGGCCATGATAAGCGGTTAAGTCAAGTTTGATAGCTGCCACAGCTGGCCGGCAAAAAGGTGCAGTAAAAAAAAATATTATAAATTGATAGGAGACTTCTTTTGTTCGATATGCAAATAAATGATGGAAGTTGTTGGCTAAAGTTTGAAATGAAATGCCAAAAAAGAGCAGCTTTAATTCATTTTTATAAGTATTAAACCTCAACATAAGTAAAGCACAATCAATCTAAAGAAATGCGCTCTGAAAGAATTTTGTAAGCAAATTTTACTTATTGAAAAGAAAATATTGCAGTGAACATGCTCCCTATTATATGCTCAGAATTTCCATTGAATGCCCAGGCCCCATACACACACACACACACAACACACTCCAACAAATCCCTACGGCTGTATTTCTATACACAAATATTTCTCACAATTTGTCAGGAATAAACATACAACACAAAAGCATGCAACATGCATTTATTCATGCACATACATCATGCCACATGCCCCATGCCATGCCCTGCCTCTCTCCATGATTGGCATTATCTTGCGGGAGGCATGTGGGGGCTTAGGTAGTAGGGGGGGGAGGACTCCCCACCTGTGCTCACATTTATATTATTTCTCGTGCATTTACAGAAACTTGAGCTTACCGAATGAAGTCAGCAGACCAAAAACCCTTATCACAGGACGCAAACACTCGCAGGGCTCTGGAGGCTGGCGACGACGATGGTGACGGTGTCCACGGCGATGTTGCTGCTGCTGCTGCTGTTGCAATTGTATCTGGCTCATGGTTTAGTGTTCACAGTTTTCTATTAGGTTTCAGGTTTCAGGTTCAATTGTTGGACACTGGTGTAGCCGGAATAAGGCTAATAAAAACAATCATAGAGCCGTATCCACATCACAAAATCAACTGCGTGCCTGGCATACAAATGTACATCCACTCGTATCTCCAAAGAGGAATTCGAAACGACCAGCAGCATCGCTTTGGCAGCTCGTTAAAGTTTTAAATTTCAACATTTAACCTGGGGCATACGCTGCGTATGCGTAATGTTTAGTCCCAGTGACACTTTGCCTTCCTCACTGCTTGCTCTTTTAGAGCATTTAATCACTATGTGTATGTGTGTGTGTGTGTGTGGCAACTAATGTCTGCAAATTACCGTTACAATTCGCACTTTACCCCCGCACGTCCCACGGTTCACTTCAATTTCTTCTTTCGTTTTGTATTTTATTTTTGTGTTTTTTTGGGTTCTTTTTTTCGAGTTTTTGGTTGCCACTTGACTTAATGGTCGTTGCCTCTAAACAACGAACGTCCGCACGCTCCTGGCAGCGCCAACAGAATGAGTGGAGCAACCATGGGGCAATCGTCGTTGTCGTTGCCGGAGTCGCCGCTGCGGCTGGAGCTGCCGCTGCCCCGACTTTGTAGCCAAAGCCAGCCAATGGGGCTGGCGCTGCAACTGAAATAGTCGAGTTGTTTTGTTCTCAAAGGACACTCGGTGTGTAGTTCGTTTTTTTTAACGCTTTCTGCTGTATATTCGAAGGAAGAGTAGCCTGAATTTTTTGATAGAGATTTATAGAGGAGCGAACATGTTTTAGAGGTTTTTTTGGGGGGCAATTTGTAAAGCATTTCATCACTAGACTGTTTGCCAAGATTTATTCAGCAGAACCATTTATTCAGCATATTTTTAAGGGGTTTATATTCAATATTTTTAAAGTTGATTTGTCTACAAATAAAGGAGTTTTAATTTTTCGCAGAATTTACCAGGAAATATTTGATTATGTAGACTGGTGTTGCTATCAGTAAGTATTCTATATTTTAATACATTTTAAAATATTTAAAATATTTTTAAAACTTTAATTAAATATTCTACGTGCATTCCCCACTGATCCCAAGCCGGTTATTTATATTTTAAGTGCCAAAACCTCGTTAGAAGCGCATTGGCTCTGTCATCATTATCCTGCCGCTTTCTCCTGCTCTCTGCGTTCTAGCTTGATTTTATTTGTCACGTTGTCCTGTGTGTGTTTCTCCTGCTGATGAGTGTGTGTGTGTGTGTGCGTCGCTCTATGTGTTTGTGCTTTCATCGTGTGCTGGTACTCTCCTTCTCCACCCCCTCTCCTCCACCTCTAACCCCAGGTTGGCTACGTTTCAGTAATTTTCATAACTGGCTGCAAGAGCAGCGCAGAGGAAGCGGCGGAGGCACCGAGAAGACGGCTCTAAAGACGGCCAGGAGAGCTGAGCCAAGTGCCGGGCGAGTACGCAGAGTGTGGACAAAAACATTTTCGGCAGTAGGTCCACCCCCAGCCAGCATCCATCCCCCCCCTCATACATTAACCCTGGATGATGCTGGAGAGGAGATGTAAATATTATTTTTTTTTTAGCGCCCCTGCTGCTCCGTGTCGCCCTGCTTATTGTGTTGTGCATTCGGTGAGGTGCCGGTGCCGATGCCCCATCCCCTTGCCCATAGCATGCGACTTGTGTTTGCATTATGCGGCGTTAATGACATCCAAAAGACACTGAGCGAGACAGAGCGAAGCTCTCTCCAGTGCCTTTTGCCATCAACAACATAATTCACAGCGACCGACCGAGGCGGAGGGAGTGCTAATGATGCCCCCACACTGCCTCGCTCACTCCACTTTACTTGGCAAACTCCTTGCGCCGCTTCATTATCTTCGTAATGCCAGCCACCATGGCCACCTCGGGCAGCGACAGCTTTGTGTCCTCCTGGAAGTCACAGCGCCTTGTCAAATGCAGCCAGGTTCGTTCTGGATTCAGGGACAGCGGCATCTGCAGCCAACTCACATAGTCGATCTTCAGGGAGCCCGTCAGCAGCTGATCGAACGGTGTGTTGCCAATGAAAAACATTGACTTGACCACGGACGTCTGTCCCTCCTTGATATTCTGCCCTTGGACACCTTGAAAGGGACTGGGATCGTTGTCGCCGGTGCCCAGCTGCTCCAGCAGCCAATCCCTGTTGAATTTCAGATAATTGTAGACCACTTTGAGGGCCTGCTTGCCAATATTTGTGGTGAGAACATCGCTAGCCAGAACCTCGGCTATGTAGTCGGCAATGCCCACATCCAGCTCCATGGCGTAGTTGTTGGGCGGACTGTGACTGAGCCGATCCGATTCGGCATTGGTCAGGTCATCCATTTTGACGGTGCTGACGGCACTCATGCCGCCGGCACCACGATTGCTGCCCCCAGGTGTGCCACCAAAGTCCGTGTCAAGATTAATGCTCTCCTTGGCCTGCTTGAGGAACAGCTCGATTTGATCGGTGTGCTTGTCGTCCTCGTCAATGGAGCAAATGGCCTCCGATATTGAATAGCAAATGGAAGCCTTGTCTGCATTCTTGCCTGTGAGGATTAGATATTAATTTTAAGATGCTTCAAAGTCCCTCCCCCCCACTCACCCTGCTCATGCACCTCGGCTGTCTTGATCAGCTCCGTGTACAGAGCAGCAAAGACCACCTGCAGCAGCACCGAATCGCCCAAGGGTCGCGTGGAAACTGGTATAATGTCCTGCAGCAGTGAGGTAATCTTGTAGAGACCCTCTGGTATACAATCCCAGATCTCGGAGACACAAGTCAGGGCCAGAGACATGGCCTGGTACATGCTCGCACCATTCTCCACGGCATTGATGAGCATCTCCACGACGCAGTCGAGCACCGGATAGACAAAATGCATGATGGCCTCCAGCCAGGGAGTGCGCTTCTGGTTCCACACCTGCCGCTTGTCCAGGCAATCACTCCAGCCCGCCACAGCGTGCTCTTCGAGGGTCTTGATCAGGCAGGACTTGATGTCCACCGCCTTGCCAACGGCCACTACTAAGTAGGTGAGCGAGAGGACAATCTGATAGTTAGCCTGTCCCACGGGATCTGTTTCGAGAGCTAATGAATGACCACTTGAAATCGAGAGAGTTTGTTCGAATGCCTCACCTATATCCCCGGCTATGGACTCGGTGACATTGAAGCACTCGCCGCGGCACAGAAAGGCCTCGCATTTCGGTGGTGCTCCCTCGGCACTGGTGAACGAATGCTTGGCCACATTCTTGAAGTTCTCCGATGAGGGTAAATGCTGCATCAGATGTCGTATGATGATGCCAGTGAGGCAGGCATCTCGCATCAGCAGAATCTTCAGCAGAAACGACCAGTCTGCCTCGGGAAATGCAAGCAGCACACGCAGATCCAGAGAAATGGCCGTGTTGGTTGTCAGATCAGCAAATTCAGTGACCCATTGGCAGGACTGCTCCTTGGGAAAGTAGCGCGGCAAGGCAAATATAATCCAAGCACTGGGCAGGCCGTGGCGAGAGCTAAACATCTCCATGTTATCCAGGCCCTTGCGGAAGACCTAAGGAAACAACAGAGGCATTTCAGCGTACCTTTTTTATGGGGTGCGAGTTCCTACCTTGGAGAGCACGCCCAGGGGAGCACCGCGCAGCAGCAGACAGTAGAAGAGCTCGCGACACTTGGCGTGAATGTCCCGCAGGATGACGCTCTGATTGCTCAACTGCAGCCCCACATACGCCTCGCCACTGTCGCAGATGTGTGGCAGCAGCTCGGCAATGCACAGCAGCATATTGCAAATATCCGTCAGGTGCAGCTGCGATCGGGCGACACTCGTCACGATCTGGGTATAGCGAACAGTCAGCACACTGAGCGTCTCGTTCAGCATGCCGGCAAAGATCTTCTGGGCCATTTTCGGCGGCACAGAGTTCCACAGATCTGTCTTGGAGCCACGCATATAGTGCCACCACATCTGCACGGTGTAGGAGCCCCGTTCCGACTCAAAAAATGGTTGCGTGTCCTCCCAATGCAGACAGTCGGCATCCTGCATGATGTACAGCAACAGGAGGCGACAGTGCAGATCGAGGAGACGCTCGGCCAATGCCTCCGACATCTGGGCATATTGCTTGAAGCTCAGCTTGAGGGCGCCGCCCTTCTCATCACCCTTGGGCGGCACAATCGTGGTGGTGGCCGCCTGCATGTATATACTCAGCGAGTTCTTCACCAGCGAAGCAGCGCCAATGGTGGCCGTCAGCACCGAAAGATCAGCATGATCCAGGGACTCCTGCGAAAGGCGATGAACATGCTCCAAAAGCATGTCTGCCGAGCGGCAAACAAGTTGAACGAACTTATCCGGATCAGAGGCCTTAACAGTGGCACTGGTCTGAGGGGGAAAACATATAGCATGGGGCTAAGTATAAATTTATTAGCAATTAAATCTTACAAAATCTCCTTCGTTCAGTTCCTTTTCGGTGTGCAAAAGTCCCGAGTGTTTGCGGTAAGAGGCAAAGTACTCATCCTCCCACCTGCAAAGAGTTCACATAATTATAAACTAGAGCTATTGCTACTTCAATTGAACCCACCAACGTATCAATTTGATTGCTGCAAAGGAAGCATAGCGTGGAAAATCCAATTTACCACCCACAACGCCCGAGCAAATGGGTTCCTGCAGCACACGCTGATGTGTCTGTGTTTTTGGGTATATTTTTATAGATAAATTGTGGATGTGTTGCCAATGTATTATACCTGATAAAACTCTAGATCTCGTTGCAGCAGTATTGGCACACGATCCATTAAATTACCCTCTTCGAGAACTTCCATTTTGTTTGCTTGGCTGACTATTTCTTTATTTTAAGTGTGAATGAAACAAGATTCAAGCAGCTAAAAGTGGCTGAACATTTATCTAACGAACAAACATTCGACAGAGTTCATAGGTTGTCAGGGTAACACAACCAAGAAGGCATACAAAAAAGGGTAGGAATCAAAGGGCATACATTATGGAGTTGAGAGCATGTCAGATATGTTTTTACACTCGTATTTAAAATTTAAAATAAATTACATCTGAAGCTTAATATGTTAATTTAAATATGAAATATTTTTATTTCAAATATTTGTATATTATGTAATGTCATAATATAAGTGGAAATACTTTCCTTACTCAATTTCCACTCTCGGTGCAAATAAATGGGCTTACACTTTTAAATCTTAATAAAACATTACAATTTCAGGGATTTTTTCTCTGAGTGTAGAAATGTTCTACTATCTTTTACTAATTTATCTTGATCACTAGCTTGATATATTTCCATCCAATGGCTTGGGAATATATTTTATTATGTTCTTTAATAACATACGAAATAATATCACCATTTGCTGGCTGCCTAAAAGTATTCTGAACATTTTTATATCAATATTGCATATGCACCCTGTATGTACATCTGTATACTATACATATGGCTGATAAGCCGCCGACTCTGTGCCGTTCCCCTTTCTCTCTTTGCATTTAATTCAGTTTACTCTAGCGATAAGCTGCCCTCTTCAATGGCCGGGCGGCAGAGAGGTGCCTGTTAAGCACTCGGCGCATTTAGTTGATAATTGACCAGCGACGTGGGCAGACGAGGATACGAATACACTTTGGGGCACACAATGTGAGTAGTGGCATTAAGTGGGATGCTATCAGTGGTTGGGCCCCGCTGCTGGGGGTGTCAGACCAAGAAAAAAGTTTCCAGTAAACAAGCAATTACCAGGCGGAGCTGCCTATCGCTCGATAAGCGGCGTATCAGGGCGTAATCAGTAAATCCATAAATCTTGCTCTCTCTCTCCTCCAGCATGATCGCACATTTGAGACACCTCACGAGGCTGGCCGGTCGCGGACACAGCCGCCTGGCCTCCTCCTCCTCCGCATCCACATCCTATCTGATCGATCAGCCGGAGTACAGTTTCCTTAAGGAGCTGGGCCTGGAGCGTAACAATCCCGGCGTCTACTCGGGCCATTGGCAGGGGCGTGGACAGACCATCACCAGCTACGATCCCGGCACTGGCCAGGCCATTGCCACAGTGCGTCAGGGCAATGTCCAGGAGCTGCAGCAGACCATCGGCCTGGGCGTGGAGGCCTACAAGCAGTGGCGTCAGGTGCCCGCCCCAGTACGTGGCGAGATCGTACGTCAAATCGGCGACGAGCTGAGGAAGTACAAGGAGCCACTCGGGAAGCTGGTCTCCCTGGAGGTGGGCAAGATCTACAGCGAGGGTCAGGGCGAAGTGCAGGAGTTCATCGACATCTGCGACTATGCGGTGGGTCTGTCGCGGATCTACTCGGGCCAACTGATCAACTCGGAGCGTGCCGATCATACGATTCTGGAGGCTTGGCGTCCCCTGGGCCTTGTGGGTGTGATCTCCGCCTATAACTTCCCCAATGCCGTTTTTGGCTGGAATGCCGCCATTGCTCTGACCACCGGCAACAGTGTGCTCTGGAAGGGCGCTCCCAGCACGCCTCTGGTCTCGGTGGCCACCACCAAAATCGTTGCCGATGTCCTGCGTCGCAACAACCTGCCGCCCGTCGTGACGCTCTGCCAGGGTGGCACCGATGTTGGCCAGTCCCTGGTGGCGGACAAGCGCGTCAATTTGGTCTCCTTTACGGGTAGCTGCAAAACGGGCCAGGATGTGGGTGTGGAGGTGCAGCGACGCTTCGGCAAGGTGATCCTCGAGTTGGGCGGCAACAACGCTTTGATCATTGATTCCTCGGCTAATGTGAAAATGGCATTGGATGCGGCTCTGTTCGGCTGCATCGGCACCAGCGGACAGCGCTGCACCACCACCAGGCGCATCATTGTCCACGAGCAGCTGCATGACCAGTTCGTGACGTCTTTGGTGGCCAAGTACAAGCAGCTGATACCCAAGATTGGACACCAGTTGGATGCGCAGACGCTGGTGGGGCCCGTGCACACACAGCAGAATGTGGATAGCTACAGGACCACCATTGAGGAGGCCAAGGCCTTGGGCGGAACTGTGGCATTTGGTGGCAAGGTTCTGGAGCGATCCGGATACTATGTGGAGCCCACAATCATCACGGGACTGGCTCACGATGCCAGCGTTGTGCATCGCGAAACGTTCGCACCCATCGTGTATGTGCTGAAGGCAAAGAATGTCGACGAGGCCATCTCCTGGAACAACGAGGTCGAGCAGGGTCTCTCCTCGGCCATCTTCACCGAGAACATCAGTCAGGCGTTCAAGTGGATCGGTGCACGGGGCTCCGACTGCGGCATTGTGAACATCAACACCACCACAAATGGAGCTGAAATCGGCGGAGCGTTCGGTGGAGAGAAGGCAACCGGGGGCGGTCGAGAGTCCGGCTCGGATGCCTGGAAGCAGTACTGCAAGCGGGCAACCATCACAGTCAACCATTCCGGCGAACTGGCCTGCGCCCAGGGCGTTGTCTTCAATGTGGAGTAGAAGAGATGTTCGATTTAAAAGCTTTCCTATATTGTTAGAAATGTTTGTAAAATATAAATGTAATGTCCAATGAAAATGCAAACGCCGCTAAGGGCGACTAATCCTTGCCGCTGATGTCAAACCGCCAGAAATCCACCTCAATGTCCTTTGACTGACGCTTGTGGAACTTGTAGCTGGCCTCGATGTTGTACCTCAATTCGGCCACCACAGAGCCGCTAGCTCCCCACTCCTCAGACTTTTTCTGGATGTAGGCACTGCCGAAAGAGAACCGAAATTAATCACTTTGGCAGATAGGACACCGCATGGCAACCACTTACCGTGTGGAGGTCTTGTGCAATGAATAGACGGCGCCTGTGGCCAATCGTAGACCCGCCTCCAGAAATCTCATATCCATGCCGGCATTGTGCTTGGTGCCAAAGGGCGGATTCATAACGATTGTGTCGAACGTTTTCTCCCACTTACTACCAGGCAGCTGCAGGACATCCGTCCTCACACAGTCCACATTGGACAGCTCCATTTCCTGCACATTGTTCCTATATATATCGACAGCATCTCCGTCCAGCTCAAAGCCAACTGTCAGCTGCGCACCGAGCAGAGTGGCTCCTATGCTCAACATGCCACAGCCGCAGCCCAGGTCTCCGACGAATTTCCCTTCGATATCATCATGCTGGGCCTGCATATGATGCACCATACATGCTGCGATATGTGGAGGCGTTGGATACTGTTCTAGCATGATCTTGGGCTTCTCGAATCCATCGACACACTGCAGATACTCCTCCAGTTTCTTCAGCTTGAGGCGGGCCATGATTTAACGATTGAATTTCGGTTATTTGGGTGCAATGTGGCTGGCGGGCGTCGTGGGCGTGGTCGTCGGCAAGGGCTCCAGGCGGGGCAGCACGGGAATGAAGCTGTTTCCAAAATACGAATCTTGGGGGATAAAGAAGCCCAAGGTGGTGGAACTGGTAGGGTTAAATGCAGAACGGGGCGGCGTGGCATTTGTGGGTAGGCCCACGCCCTGCGGTAGGAATTCAGGTGCTACTGTCGGCTGGCCGAGCAACTGAGGAGAGGGCATCTATAATGGTAATATTCTTGAGTAGAACAAAAATACTTAAGGCCTCTGGAGCACATCGTGCGCACCTGATTTGTGTTGCTCAGTCCCAGGTTAATTATCCCACCAGCAAGCAGCTGCTTTTTGGTCTGGATGTCCTCGAGTATCTTTCGGTTCGTTTCGGCTTGCTGTGCACTGGTTGTTGGAAAAGCCATGAAATAAGTGAAATTGTCTTGGAAAATTAAAAAAGAAATCAAAACTAATGTTCTTTGACCAATGCAGCCTTTGTTTTCATATTTTGTGAACTGGTTCCGTGAACACTGTTCCTCGAATTGTAAAATATTTAGTTTCAACTCCTACCTAATCACATTTCTTGTTTAGCTTAACACAATTTTATTTATGTTGCTCGGGCATGCTTCTTTCAAGCAACTTTAGTTTAAATCAAGTCTTGTAGAGATAAATGTACTTTGTTCACTAGGGAACTACTGATTCCAATGCACTTTCGGTGGTTTTCCAGCACTGCCATTCACCGCGACCGCATTCATTTCGAAGAACGTGCGCTGGAAGCAACAACAAAAAACTCTGATAATTACAGTTAACAACAACAACAACAACAAACAGTTGCAGCATTGTTGTCAATCTTCGAGTAGAATCAATCAAGTGTGCCTGTGTGTGACGTCACAATAACTGTAGCAGCCATGTATGCCAGTATGAGCGATGATGACAGAGATATTGATATTGAGAGTGACGTAAGCAAGTGTAGAATACATTAAAGTACATATAAACAGATGTATATGTATACCTAATGTATATATGCATACAAAATTGTACAACATTAATTCATATATGTATCTTCCAGGACGATGGCGACTCGGATACGGGGTTGGGTTCGTCTCGTCACACGAATACAGCAAATTTTACACAGGTAACAGCTATAAAGAGAGCCAACGGAAGAAGAAGAAAAGGCAATGACCAGGGTATATTAACATGAAGGTAGCCCAGCCTTGGCACTCAGAGCACACAAAGAGATGCTATCGTTGTGTGGCTAGAGAGAGTGGGCGCTTAAATATTAGGCTGGCTAACCTTACATTTAATATACCCTGCACCTGCGCACGTTGTCTTTTGTTGATAAACAACACGCACATGTAGTTGTACCCCCCAACGCCCCCTCACTGAAGACCAACTGAAATATTCTTAAATAAATAATTAAAGGCCGAGAAGCGAGCACACCATAACGCGCTGGAGAGACGGAGAAGAGATCACATAAAGGAGAGCTTCACCAACCTGCGTGAGGCAGTGCCCACGCTGAAGGGGGAGAAGGTGAGTGCAACAGTTGGGTGAATTACATGGACACAGTAATTGGATCAGACTTTTCCACAGGCTAGTCGTGCTCAAATACTCAAGAGGACCACGGAATGCATACAGACTATGAGGAAGAAAATCAACGACAATCAAAAAGACATTGACGAGATCAAGAAACAGAACATCCAACTGGATCAGCAGAGTAAGTGTTCGGTAGATGTGTCCCAATCAAGCAACCCACTAACACAGACTCGTCCCTACCAACAGTTCGTGCCATGGAAGGTGGCATGAATGGTGATGTCTACGGCGATCTCCAGAGCGAAGATGATGTGTGCAGTGACGACGTAGAGGACGAGGATCTGGAACTGCCCGATTCCAGTAGACGCAATAAAAAGATGAAAACCTTCCATGCATAGCTGCCAATTATGTGAATTAACATATTTTAGCTATAAGCCCATGAAATTATGTGCATTATCATAACGAGGGTAACGAGTCGAGTCCAAAAAGTGTGTCCCTCCGTCGCCACCAAATCCTCCAAATTCTACCTTAATGTGTGCACACATGTGTGTGCGTATCTTTTGTACTTTGAACAAAGCTTTGCTCCATTAATTAATTAAGATTGAAAGTATATATTTTAGAAAACAAACAGCGGCCGCCGACTATTATTTGAACTTGAGCGTTAGCCAGAGCAACAAGAACACCACGAGCACAAAGAGAAACATATAGCACATCTGCCTGGCCCCGCCACCCTGTTTGGCCAGGCGGACGACTCGCGTCATTGTGTTGCCCAGGAAGCCCGATGTCCGATCCATATCATCGTCAATGCCGCGCAATAGCTTGTCCTGGTAGCGCACCTCGTTACCAATATCAATGGTCAGCGACTTGAGGGCGCCTATTTTCTGTTTCAGCTCCTCGGCAGCGCGCTCGTTCTCCGCCTCTAGTGCATCATGCCCGACCGGGCTGGAGCCAGATGGCTGCTGGTTTAGCGGCTGGTAGGGATAGTTATTGGTGCGTCGCATGTTGCTCCCGGTGTGTGCCAGTTTTGCATTAATTGATTTACTCTTCACGGCCTGAGGGGGAGGCAGAAATGGAAATCTCAAGCTGGTTCAATCAAGTGACACGTACGTACCCAGAGGCGAACCAGATATGAAGATTTCTCGTTTCTTGGGTTGTCAACCAGCTGACTTTTCATTGATCTCTGACCAGACTGTTGACACTCAATTTGGCATGCTATGACTCAAAGTGAATTACATTTAATTTAGCTAGTTTCTGTTTGTCTGTCACTGCAATAAACAACGAACGAAACATAAGGAAGTTTACCCCAATCGTTAATTTTTTACAATGATCAGAAATGATAATCCTCGATTTTTATATTCGGCTTGGAATTACTAGCCAGTTAGGACACTCAGAAGTAAGCCTATACTTTTAACCGATAAATTAATCAATTTTCTACAAGACTGGCTTGTTTAAAGTACTCAATTTTATTTGATTGTTTATGAAATATGTCTTAAACAAAAAAGTTTAATTAAAATTTTCACTAAATGTATTTTACCATTTATAGCTACACGATTTCTACATTGGTGTATTAGCACAACGAGGTGAGTCCACAACGCAACCTAAAATATACTAGAAAATCCCGTAATATACCATAAAAGTATACAAATACACAAGGTGTGCGACATAGAAAGGGTATACAGTTTCCCCAAATCTCTTGTTTACTTTTTTGCATTTGCCACTCGCGTAAAGTTTGCTTCCAGTCGTGGTTTTAGGTAACAAAAACTTATGGGATTGGGCGCCTCGCCTCGCTTTTTGTGTGTTTGCTTTTCTAGTTAGTTATCCACTGACCAGCAAAAGCAAATCAATAAGTTATAAAATATTCAAGTCGACCACAAGTGCGTAATTTTTGGTGGCCGTTTGATTGCTGCATAGACATCGTGATATGATATCATTTCCACTGGCCCTGACCAAGTGCGCTCGATTGTATCACTGTTGCACTGATTCACTTCTCTCTGCCTACTCTCCGCTCTCAGCGATCAAGAAATCTCAGGAAATCAGTTTGCGTAATATACAACTATAACAGTTAAATGAGATAAGCCTGGGAGGGGGCGCCCATTGAACCATTAGACCACGCGAGTGAATCCCATAACTATAACTGATAAGGAACCCTTGTGTTTGTTAACTCTTTGGCCAGATTGAGCATGACGAAATATATAGAGGAGCAACCATCCGATGAGGGGCTAATGGGCGCCATAGCCGCGGTAGGGGGCGTAGCTCCTGAAGCACTGCGTCTGCTGCTTACACTTATGGCTGGTAAGTATTCCGGAATGTTTCGTGTACATGTATGTTAATGTTGTCTCCTCCCCACCCCTCAGGCTATCCCATTGCTGCGTTGTACACAAAATATATTGCTGAGGTGCCCTTCAAGACGCTGCATCACATATTCTTCTTCACCTGTGGAGCTGGCCTCTGCTACTTCAACTACGGCGTCGACACATATCACTCGCTGCTGGCCATCCTCGTCACATATCTGCTGGTCCTGTTTCTGCGGCACAACGTCAAGCTGATGATCGGCCTGAACTTTGTGTTACCACATGACCTATTTGCTGTTGGGCTACTTTTACACATCCAGCAACGACTATGACATTCTGTGGACGATGCCACACTGCATTTTGGTGCTGCGCATGATTGGCTTCGGCTTCGACATTTCCGATGGGCTCAAGGCGCAGGAGGCTCTGTCCAATGAACAGAAGGAAACAGCCCTGCCGCAGGTGCCATCGGTGCTGGAGCTCCTGGCATTTGCGTACTTCCCCAGCGGTTTCCTGATTGGACCACAATTTCCCCTGCGTCGCTACCAGAAATTTATCAACGGGGATTATCGGCAGCACGAGGGCAATGTGGAGGCGGGCATGCGTCGCCTGGCCATTGGCATCTTCTATCTGATCGTTTGTCAGGTGGGCCTGAGCATTCTGCCCGACTCCTACTTCCTTAGCCCAGAGTTTGTCGAGGTGGGACTCATCAAGCGGATCTATCTGCTCGGTTTTTGGGCAAAGTTCAGCCTGTACAAGTACATATCCTGCTGGCTGCTCACCGAGGGCGCCCTCATCTACATTGGCTTCACCTACAAGGGCAAGGATGAGCATGACCAGCCCGACTGGTCGGGCTGTAGCAATGTTAAGCTGGTCCTGCTGGAAACGGGCAACACCATGGAGCACTATGTGCATAGCTTCAATGTGAACACAAACCAATGGGTGGGCCAATATGTATACAAGCGTTTGAAGTTCCTCAACAATCGCACGATCAGCTATGGAGCGGCCCTGGGTTTCCTGGCCATCTGGCATGGCTATCACAGTGGCTACTACATGACATTCCTCATGGAGTATATGGTTGTCAGCACCGAGAAGCAGGTGAGTTGAAGCTCACATTATAATTAGATAACAAAAATTAAAATTTTTCCCTTTCTGTACTCAGATCACGCGCTTCTATGACAAGGTTGTGCTGCCCAAATATGGCACATTCCTGAACAACTCGGACATCTACAAGGTGCTCTACTTTTTGGCCCTAAAGTCCTACAACATTACCTATATGGGCTGGTGTCTGACGGCCTTTGTGTACCTCAAGTACGAACGTTGGATCGTGGTCTATGGTGCCGTCAACTATTATGGCTTCATTTACTTGCTCCTGTGGGCCGCCTTCTATCACAGCTATCAGCACTTTTCGCGCAACAGCTCCAAGAGCAATGAAAACGACACAGGCGGCAAGAAGACTCAGTAGAGGGAAAATTACCAAAATTGATTATCGGAAATTGGTTTTGGAATGGAACTACTATATATTCTTTTAATATTCTACTAACCAAATCGAGTAGTTCTTACCAATTAATAAGCCACACTGTAACCGGAGATTGTCAAACACACACACACACACTCACACACACAAATATCGATTGCCTAGTCAAAGCGGAGGAGTTATTAAATCCCCCAACAAAAAAGTACACAGACAGTGCGTTTCATAAAGATGAAACAGTATGAAGAATGCCTCTTAATTTCAGCTGTCTTATACTGCCCGAAGCGCACTGCAAGAAAGTCTTAAATATGATTATGCATACACATATGATATAGAATTGTAAATTATATTAGTTGTTGACAGCTAAATGTACGTTCAATTAGTAACTAAAGCCCACAGCTCATCAACTAACTAAGACCTCTTAAGGCCCACTTGTATGATAATCCGGGACGAATCGTAACTACATATTTTTCAGTTGTTTTTGTTTTTGCCTACCACCCCCGACGAGACTTAAATCTAAGCTATGCAGACAATTTTATACCATATGCAAAAGATTCACTATACATACAAATGATATATTTTTTCACATGCTCACCGAAATGGGAAAACCTTTGCGAAATGTGCAAAACTTCATTGATAGCAAGACACGAATTAAAATGCAATTAAATTATTTTTAGATACAAGAAGAAACTTATTTATTGAACAGCAAATAGATATGAGAATGTAATGGGGGTGGGTGGGGCAGACTAAGTGCTACAGTTTTAATGCTCCATGGCCTGGGCATCGCCGCCGCCAGCCTCCGAGCGACGCTTGGACCCCCCAACGCCCGAGGTAAAGTCCTCCTCCTTTTCGGTTATCTCGCTGAACATGTAGTCGTCCTGGTACTCCTTGAGGATCTTGCTGGAACGATTCTCGTCCAGGAACAATGAATAGACCTTCTTGACGTCTTCGGTGTTGACCTCGGTGGCCTTGCGACGGCGACACACCAAATTGGCCGTGGTTATCAATTGGATGGCATAGCGCAGACTGGTGTCGGTGGCGATGCGTGTCAAGATGGTGAGCGCATCCGGATGCATGATGCAGTCCTCCTCCTCGCAGCGGATCTTCAGGATCTCCTTAACCTCCTTCTCCGAGTAGGGAACGGTGCGTATGATGATCATGCGATCAAGCAGATCGATGGGTATGCCGTGGGGACTGCGGTAGTTGGTGCCGCGAATGCGTGTGATGCCGCGATTGGTGGCCATCACCACCACCGGCGCCATGTCCGACTCCAGGGCACGATTCAAGTACGAAAAGCATTCAATGTCCAGCATGTGGACTTCGTCAATAAACAGCACTCCCGGATTGATTTCGGCCTTGCCCTCCTCGCGCCATTCCAGCACCTTGTTGTTGATCTGATCGCGCACCTCCTGCTTGATCTCGCCAGTGTCGCCCGAGAACAGGGCCAGGAAGCCGTGGGTGCGACTGTTGATCACATCGATCTCGTGCAGGGTCACCGTGTGGACCACTTCCTTGCGCTTCTGCAGCTCGCCCTCGGGGCACTGGACAAAGCGTGTCTGGGCGCCGGTGGCATCGTAGTCCCGGGCACGTGTGAAGCTGCGTCCCAGCTTATTGACCTTGCCGGATGCCTTGTCAATGGTGATGACATCGCCGGCCTGGATCTTCTCCTTCATGAAGCACTCGATGATCTTGTTGCCCAGATCGTAGTTGGTCTCCATCTCGGTGGTCTTCAGGGTCACCTTGCCCACCTTCTGGCCGGTGCCGGTGGCCGGGCGTTCGATCTGTATTTCCACCACCTCGCCCTCGATGATTTCAGTCTCCTCCTTGATGCGCACACCGATGCTCTTGCGCAGCGCCTGGGACAGCGCCTCCGTCTTGCTCATCTCCAGCGAGTAGATCTCCGATCCGGACATGCTGGTGAATGGTGTCTCTGTGCCCAAAGCCTGGGCCATGCCCACGGCAATGGCTGTCTTGCCGGTACTCGGCTCGCCAGCGAGCAGAATACAACGTCCGGCGATCTTACCCTCGCGCACCATCTGCACCACAACGCCAGCGGCACGGCGGGCGTCCTTCTGACCCACCATGCCCTGCGACACAGCACGTGCCTCGAGGACATCGTCCAAGCCCAGACCGCGAATGTGCGAATGGGCACCAATGCGCTCGATGCGCGTAATGTCGCGTACTTCGATTTTCTCGGTTTCTGTCATTATTTTAATTTTAAATTAAATTACTGGGAAATGATTTTCCTTGCTTCTATACGTGCAGCTGGGCTTGAAAATTGTTTATAAAGTCAAAATAAGTTGCTAGGGCGAAGTAAAATTGCCGGGCCGCGTTGTTGAATAGATTTATCGATAAAAAAAAACGTAAATGCAACTCTGTACACACTAACAGCTGTTCCGCGCTTATTTTTTTTCTGAAGATATCGCCGATTTCGTGGACAAAAGTTTATGTATTTTTAAATTGAAAACAACATAGAAAAGCATGTCGTTTCTTGCGCAAACTGTGCGCCAAGTGCTGCGCCAGACGCCGACACGCGCTTCCATGCTGACGGGTGAGTGCAGCATAACAATAACAACTCCAAACAATGTGACATAACCATGCCGCCCAATGCGTCTCTCTCACCCACTAACCAGGCGCCATGCGCTCCTTGAGTCTGGCACCGGCTTTGTGGCAACAACACAAACCCGCCGCCGCCGCCGATGACGCCGGAATCGATGTTGCAGCCATCGCCAAAGAGCAGCAGAAGGAGTGCCTGAGCATCTGCGAGAGGGTCAATCAGCAGGTGGCCAAAAGGGAGCAGGGCCGCCTCTTTGCCGTTGTTCATCTGTGCGGCAAACAGTTCAAGATCACCGCCGGGGACATCATCCTGGTCGAGGGCTATTGGCCGCCCACGATAGGCGACGAGATCAGCCTCGACAAGGTGCTGCTGGCCGGAGCTCGCGACTTCACGCTGATCGGACGCCCCATTCTGGAGCCCGGCCTGGTTACGGTGAAGGCCACCGTTGTCGAGAAGACCCTGACCCACACGAAGACACACTTCAAGAAGAAGCGCAGGAAACAGTATATGAGAATCAACTTCCAGCGTTCGCCCAATACCATGATACGGATCAACTCCATTCAGGTGGCACGACCAGTGGACGGCAGTTCAGAGGCGGATAAGGAGCCCTCGAAGCGTTTGTTTTAATCTAAAAGCTGTTTATCAAGGAAATTATATCCATTTATTATGATAAGTGTGAGTGCTGAACCAATTTTTTTCGGTGGTGGCTGTAAAGTTTAAAAATTCTATAATTGTGTTTTGCAACACTGAAGTGACAATGTTTTTCCACGCATCTGGCAACCTTTTTGTGCTTACGTTTTATGTGTGTCTGGCAGCGCGCGAACACTAATGTTTTTCCATGATGTGGCAACAGTTGAAACATTTCCCCAACATCTTTTGATCCTTTGAAGCTGGTGTTGCCCTTCTCCTTTCGCTATCAATTTGAAATTCTACTTTCATCTTGATTCAATGACTTTTACAGCTGCATTGCCGCCATTCCATTTGCCCAGCACTCTCGTACGTTGTATTTACCCAAAACGACAACCTACTTTATGAGCAGCCTCTCATCAGCTACCCGCCACACACGCCACACACACACACACACACACACACACTCACCCCAACAAAGAGCAGTCGCAGGTCTCTAATGAAGCAGCAGCAGCAACCACTGCAATTTTAATGACAACCTTTTATCGTCTATGTTGTTGTTGTCATCTTTCATTAAAAGATGACGAAGATGGGGCGGGGGCCCCGCCATGTGGCAGGCTGCTGGGTGCCTGCTGGGTGCCTGCTACCTTCTTTATCAGCAGATGTAAGTTGGTCCTGAGTCGTCTGACGTATTTGTTTGCATTTCTGTTTCACTTTTCACTAACCAAAGGCGTTTACTTTTGAGCTTTTGCTTTTCCCTGGCCCCATTTCGAGTGGCCTTTCCGGTTTGCTTTTGCCCCGTGTGCAGATTTTAAACACATGAACTGGAGACAGTTTCAATCTATAATTGCCTTGGGATAATTGCTCCAATGGAGCAATGATTTTTGGAACTACTTTTTAGCCTGTTCGTAATTTGAATCCCTAAATCCCTTGCAGTTCCCCCAATGGTTGCAACCTTTGCAACCCCCATCCCCCCGGCACTCAACCAACATGCCCTTAGCCATAAATTAAAAGTGACAACTTCATGTCTGGTCATATCAGTTCCGTTCCTGGTGGCATCTTCTAAATAAAATCACTTTCGCTCCATATAAAAATGCCATTAAAAATTATGGGCCCACCGCCTGTGAGGCAGCCTCCTAGCAGCAGCAGGCAGGGCAGGATGCAGGCAGGCAGGCAGCAGGCTGAAGGTGCCGTGTCCCGACACGCTGCTGGGTGCGTCGTCTAATGGTGCCACATCAAATTTTGCAAATTGCAGAAGCAGCACAAATTCAATTGTCGACACTTCGGGCAAGTTTTGCTCAAATATCCATCACAGAATGTACAGCGTATACCGCTGCACTTTGCCGGGCGACAAATCAAATTTCAATATGGTTTGGCGACACATAAAAAATAAATATATGCATATACATGGAAGCAAATTGAAACGGTTTCAGGTGCTAAAATGTGAGGCTTGCTCCTTCCTCTGCTTTGGCTGCTGCTTTTGCTGTCCTTCTGATTATGTTATTTGCCCAGGAAAATTGCATTTGATGTGCGTTAAGTGACGAAACGGAAATTGCCACCAAGCGGATGCGGGGTTTTGTTTGTCTTCCAGCGTCCTTCCTTCATTGCCTCCCCCTAAGCCAGCCAGCCTGTCCGCCTGCCAGCCAGCCACCCTGCGCTGTCGCAGCAAAATCCCATGTAAATGCGGCTCAAGTTGGCCCAAAAATTGTCCGTAAATTTATGCGTAGAAGCGTGTGATGTTTGGGTGGTTTGGGTCTTTCGCAAAAAGGGGCAAAGCCAAAGGAGAGGCGGGACTTGGGGGGAGTGGTCGTGGTCGAGGAAGGATACTGTATTATGACCATCCCATCCATCAACCCAGCATCACTCAGTTTTGACATATCATTGAAATCTTATGCCAACGTCGTCATCATCTGTGACGTTTCATTAACCCACCTCCGACCCTCCCCCCCCCCACCCACCAGTGCCATGCCACACAGTATGAAGGGTGTTGATGGGTTGGGGCGGGGGGTGAATGTGTTAATATCAACAAGCGAAAACTGTGCGAACGAACGAACGCAATCTACCGATTTCCGCTTAACCAAGCCAAACATTGCATTTTTGATTAGACCCCCGCGCACACACAGAGGCTGGCTCCCAGTCGAGACCGAGACGAGCCTTTCCGCGCCCTCAGGCTGGTCAAATCCCCACAAGAAGTGCCAGCAGCAGCAGCAGCAGGAGGAGGAGGAGAAGTAGATGAAAAAGATTCCAAGGGAATGTTAATGGGGGTTGCTTTGTGGGATGTGCTGCCGGGGGGTTTTTTTTTTTGGGTGGGCTGCAAACACACAACGCTCAAGTGTCAAAGTCAGGGGGGCTACTAGTGGGGCAATTGATTGTAATTCCGATTTTATTGACGTTTTCTGCATTTTTATTATTGTTTGAACTGAGTTCATAGATTAGAAATGTCCCATTTTATTGCATTTACTTTGATTAGTCTACGCCATACAATATATCGTATGGATCCTCGGCTATCACAAGTTCCTCCTCGCTCATCCGAGCGTCGCAATTGGCTGATTCCGTTGCTATCGCTTGCTTCAGTTGATTGCAACTTTGGGAAAAGAGTTTGAGATCGGTCACGATGGCCAGTTTCATATGCTTTTCGGGTATATAATGTTCTATATAATATGGCGGCACCACATCGACAGCCTTGGGCACGTACTTGTAGCCATCGGGGATGCCATTCATATGGAAATCGCTGAGAGTTATTGTCGCATTGGAGGTGAGAAAACTATTCAGCATTACCACACAATGCATTTCTTCCTCTTCCTCTTCCTCCTCCTCTTCCTCGTTGTTTTCATCATCCGTCATCATATTTTGAGCTTCGTTGGAGCGAGTGGCGAGTGAGGGTTAATAATCTCTTACACACAGAAATGCCATGGAATGCACTGCACTAAGACTATAACTAAACTTACGTGGTATGGTATGGTCTGGCTATGTAGTTTGGTTATTTATTTGCCTTTTGGATGATTTGCCAATTTTCCGTATGTTTTAAGCTGTTACAGTGCTGGCTAACGCCTCACACATGTCATACTTTGCAGTGTTGTACAACTATGAATTTTCCCATGTGCTAGTATAATTTCCAACCTCAAATCGCTGGATCTGACTTTCTAGAACTTTTCCAACGACTCCCCTAGGAATATATATTATTTTCGCATTATATATCGATCCAAGCCCAAAAGTTTCCACTGGCTACACCCCCACACGCATCCAATTCGCCCTAAAGCATATTACATTCAAATTATAAACTCACATATCATTCGCCATTCGGGTTGGAAGGGGTTTTGATGGGGATGATGATGATGTTTTCTGTCACCTTACGCATAACTTGAAAAGTTTTTCCATGGAAATTATGCAAAAATGGTTGAAAAAAAAAATACTTGCTTGATCTACTCCATGGGGATATTTTTCTGTTCACTGAATTGTTGTGTGGAGGAGATGCCAAAAAAAAAGTGATTTTACCCCATTGAAGAAGGCAGCAGAAGGGTTGAGCCACAACCAACGCCTCTGCCTGATAACCATCTCTCTGATGATGGCTGATATGACAATCTAGTATAGCAGACTCCACCTCCAACAGCTCCAGCTTGGGTGCACGTGTCACAATTCGAATTTAAATAAGTTCGATGAGCAGCAAAGTTGACAAACAGTTTGGCTTCCACATCCCCACTCGACGCTTGCCTGGTGCCTGCTTTTAATGATGAAATTTCAATAAATGTCATTTGGTTCTCGGCAAAGTGTCAACATGGCACCTACCGCCCTGCACCCCCTACTTTGCTGCTCTTACTCCCTTTTTTTTTTTTTGGAGTTTGGAGAGGGGTGAGCGAACAGCAGCTGTCAGGCCACGGCTTTCAATGCGTTAATAATGACAGTTTTCGCCCAAACGATTTTATCTTTTTTTTTTTTGTTGGCATTTTGTGTGTGTATGTGCGCTGTCTAACTAGCCAGAGCCCTGGGCAGGATATCGCAGTGGTCCTCGTCCGTCGAGTTCTGTTAAATTTAATTACTTTTTCATTGCTCATACGCACTGGGTGAGTCCCAAAGAGAGAGAGAGAGAGAGAGAGCGGGAGCGGCGAGAAGTTGTGATTGAAATTCGTTGAAATTTGCATGTTACACGAAGAAATTTTCAACTGCAGTTTGGCTCTGATTCTGATTGCTAGCGGGGTCCTTCTATGGGTCCTCTGGGCTCTCTCCCGTCTCCCAAACACGTCACGTCATCATCAAGCAGCACCATCCACCATCCAGCATCGATAGTTGACAGTTGCAGTAGCCGTGCCCTGGCAGTTGTCGCCGTTTGTCACAATGGCATTTAATATTTGGCCATGGTACAGGCATTGCCCCGCTCGGTCCCACTGGTGTTGCAGCCATACGGAAATTGTTGGCTGTGACAAAATATTTGATCACGTTTTCGTACAAGAACCCCGTCTGTATGTATATCAATGTTCGGTGTTGAACTTGTGGATTATTCGATCCCCAATACCCATCTACAAATATTGGAATTCTTTTACTTACTTTTGCGCAACATTTCTTGGCTCAAATTTGATCAAATTTATGCGTTTAGGTTGGAATATATTTTAGAGCTTAATTCTGTTTGATTTTCTGCTTGCAGCTTAAAGTTAATTATGTCTAAGACTGGGATTTTCATAGAAATTACAGAACTTCATTAAGTGTCTTCCGCTGGCAAAATTAAAACAAAAACATTATTAAACATTCACTATTTTGCTTACTTTATAAAACTAATAATATGGTCCTTTAGTAATTGATTAAGAGGAGGACCTTTCGCACACTTTCATAGTGTCTCATAATTTAAGCTTATATTTAAAAAAGAAAATTCGCTTTTAACTTCTTCCGGGGTCCACTATCTGAAAAACAAAATCCTTTATTTAAACTAACTTGACATTAATTAATTGCTGCTTACCCTGTGGGATTGCTACTGTTGCAGCAACATCTCAATGCTGATTGCTTGCTGGGGCATCTTCTATTTGCGGTAAGGTAAGCCTTCGACTTTTGTTGCCATAACTTTGCAGCTTTTTGGTTCCTTTTCGAGCTTCCATGTTACCTTAGATTGGGAGCTTGTTGGTTCCTTTTTGATCTTCGATGGTGCCTCAGATTTTGAGCTCTTTGTCTTCGCTGGGGCCGCAACTGGGAAGCTCTTCGTCTGGTCCAGGTGCTGGTCCATCTTCGCAATGCCATTGCCTGTGGTTCCATTTCCCATATCCAGAGAGATAGTCGGCTCTGTAGAGTCGGTGCTCTTTAGTTTCGTTACTCGGGGCTTCCTGGGTTTCTTTGCTTGGCCAGTCGTTGGCTCCTTTGCTTGTGTTGGCTTCTGCACATGTGGATTCCTTGGCTTCTTTACTTGCGTACTCGTTGCTTTCCTTTCCTGAGTATTCGCTGGTTTCCTGGTCTCTGCATTCGTTGCCTTGCGCTTGGTGGCCTTTCTAGGGTTCTTGTCTCGCGGTTTAGTTTCACGCTCAAAACGGGACTTCTTAAATTCCTCCATCATTTGATTTAGTTCATTGATTTCACTTTCCACTGCCTGCATGCATTCTTCGAAAGTGCGTGGACGCGATGGCCTGTTATTAGACTGGCGCACGTTTTGGTCAGCGGCCTGCAATGTTAAACATATAAATAATGCTTACATATGTACGTATGCTGCTACATCTGATGCTTCAGTTGGCTTACCGCTTGAGCTTTCTCTTGAACCTTGCGTTTGGTAGACATTTTAGAGGTTTCCATACAAAAATAAACACAAAGACAGCATCAAATGCGAGGGGGCTTTTTGTTTGCTTACCAACACTACAGTTGACGCGCACTATTTGTGAATTTGCCAGCACTACGGAGAATGCAGTGCAGTGGCAGAGCGTGCGAGCAGATCAGCAATAAAAACCGTATGGTGGAAAAGCATGCAGCGAGAGTGAGATGCATATATATTTTTATCGAATCGGTGGCTGCCAAAATTTTAAATTTATACTCTGAAATTATAACCAAATAATAACATTAATTTATTGCATCAACAAATAATTATATATTTGTGTTTTTGTTTTCATACCATACTGGTATTTAGAGTAGTAGAATACGTCCATTATCGTTACTGCTTATCGATAACTTACTTTGATCAAAACAGTTGTAGTCGAGGCTATTTCTGAGAAATTTGTTGAATTTGGTTTGCGAAAAAGTTTCCAATTGTTTTGAATGGATTGCAGAAATATTTTGTGAGTATTTATACGAGTAAAAAGTGTAATTTGTTTACTTTTTAATTGCCAAATGCAGCTGCTTTTCTGCTCAGGAATTACCGGAAATATTGTGAGGTAAATAATTGCAATAGACATCGACGATTCCAATCCAAGCGAGTCGTTTCTAAGAATTTATTTAAAGCTAAAGCCAAAAGCCAGTGAATTGTATTTAAATTTGGTACAACTTTTTTCTATATATTTTGTGTGTGTTTTTTTTTCCACAGAAAATCTTGTGACGTGACAGTCTGACACACCAGACATACGCAAATACGAGTAGAGAGGGTTTTGCCACTGCAGAAAATTGAAAAGTTTGAAATATCTCGGTAATTGTTTATGTTTGTTTAATAATAAATTTATTTAGCTCTTCATTAAACACAATTTACATGGCAATCGAAGGTTTTTAGTGTCGTCTGTCTGTGCAGATTCGCAAAATTTAATACGTCATTATCCATTGTGTGGAACAAAAGTGGCAACAGATTTCCATAATGGCTATTTCATTGGGCAGCAGCAGCAGCAGCCACTGCTGCTCTGATCTGCCTACTCTCCTCGCATTTTACTTGCGGTTGCAACGTGGCCCTTGTGGCAGCCAGCCGCACTGCCACTTCCGTCTGTGGAGTCGTGAGTGAAATATTAAAATTCAATTAAAATGGCGTTAATTCCAGCAACAGAAACATCATCAGCAGCAGCAGCAGCAGGAACAGAGAAGAGAAGAGCGCCATGTCGACTGTCTGCACCAGCGCCTGTCATAATTGTCAACTCTTCAGGGCCGGTCCCCAGATCCGACGGACGGGACATGTCATGTCCCAGGCAGTGCTTCCTTTCCGCACTTTGGCATAATGATGCTCATCAACGGACAGGTTGGCCATCCCGTCCCGTACTGTCCCCTTTGTCCGCCTGATGTTTTGTGTCCGCCTCTCAATGGCATCAATGGCTGGCCGCTGATTTTCTATACCCCTCTCCTGCTGCTGCTGCTGCTGCTGCTTATGCCAGGCTGTTTTTCCCGCCTTTTTGTTTGGCTCCGCATGCAAATTGCACTTCAGACAGGCATTTATCATCAATGGGTAGCAGTCGGCTACAGCCCACTCCTGCCCAGCAGCAGCATCATCCTCAGTCATCAGTCAGAAGGCAGTCCAGTCCAACGGGTATAATGGTTAATTAATAAATATGTGTGTCCGTTTCCTCCTCCTGCGTGGCTCCTCCGATTAAGCCTCGAAATAACCCTTTGAATATAGAATTTGTATGGCCGTACCCCCGTAACCCCATTGATGCTGCTTTTTTTTTGTATATAAAAGTTACCTTAGACTCTTTTTTTTTGTTTGCACTCTGTTTCATTTGTCGTTGATCTGTTAAGCCATTGACCCACTCGTGTGGGCTGGTTAATAATAGAGTCTAGACGTGGATAGGGGATGCGCAAAGATAACAGGCTCCAAATTATTCCTATAGATTTATTTACTTTAGAATTCGCGGAATTCAGCTGTTCCACAAGAAAAGGAAGCAGTGTGACCAAACTGCAACTGTAAGAAATTTACTATAAAACGAATGATATTTCGTTGCCCTTGAAATATCAGTTAAATTTAATTTAAAGTTTAATTTTGCTCAAATTCAGGTGATCATTTTGTATACCTCGTCTATAGATGTTGCCTTTAGTTATATGTTTGAATTATACATTGAATTCTTGCTCTTTTTTCTACATAATTAAACAAGTAAGTGAACCCCATCCTGCGTATATCCTCCACTTAATCTAAGATATCATTTCACGTAGCTGTTTAAGCATAATGTTTGGTTAAAGATCTCTTTCCTCCATCTGGCAGTCTGTGTGCAGTTTACCTTGAAACCAGTTGAATCCCGCCCTTACGCAGGATAACCCTTTACTTACACCTTTCCCCGCCTGGGTTGCCTTCCTTCGTTTGCAATATTAGTTGTATTTTGTATGCTCAAGCAGCCAGCCAGCCAGCCCCTTCAAGTGCCCGACTGTCGAATGTTTGATTAGGCATTCCGGCAGCCGAATAAATACCAATAAAGACAGCAGAGCCAGACGTTAGACGGTTGGGGAGGAGGGGGGGAGGGCAGACAACAACTTTGGTGCTCTTCACAGCTTCAAGGTGTCAACTGTACACGCACTCACACTCACACCCCCCAAAACACTCACTTGAATCATCCCAAAAGAGCGAGGTAGGTGTAGGTGTAGGTGTAGGTGTGTGTGTGTGCAAAAGCAGGAAACTCCTCCACGGTGAGTCAATATTTGTAGTCGTTTGGCAAAAGTTTCACTTCAACTTTTTGGATTCCTTGCCTTGCCCTGCCTTACCCTGCCTTTCCTTTCCTTTCGTTTTTTTTTTGTTGCCGTCTGCGAGGGGCGTGTTCCTGTTCTGCGGTGGAGGTCAAACTTATTGGCTCTTGTTTTGTTCAATTTTTAAATTTTATTCCTGCATAGTTTTGCCCATAGAGTTTCCCATTCGATGGCATCGCAACCAGCGATTGTGTCCCACCGCCGCCGCTGCCGCCCCCACGTATCGACTGTGGAACGCCTCATTGATTGCCCATTTAGAACCGCAAAATTTAATTTATCTGCCATCAGTTGATGTTCTTGCGGTTTGCCAGCGCCTGGCGCACAGGCAGTGCCCGAAATGATATCGAAAGAAGGTTAGGTTAGGTTTCTATACATACATATATCCCCACGATATACACCCCAAAAATCGCCCAAATGTCTGTGTGGGGAGTCCCTTTTGTTTGTGCGGGGGAAAACCCATGTCAAAAATTGTACAACAGTTTTGGTTCTGCTTTTTTTTTTTCTTCTGGTTTTCTGATAACATTTTGGGTCGGCTGCCCGGCTGCCTTGCTGTGTATTCATGTGTGATTGTCTGTGTGTGTAGGAGTGTGCGTGTAGAGTGTGTGTGTGCGTGTGTGGTATGTTTAAGATATCATCTGTCTCTGGAGCAGTCCCCATAGACGGACCCCCAAAATCCCACAATCGAACGACTGTCAGGCACTTCCGTTGGCTGCCATTGCCACCTGCTGTTTGACACCTAAATTCGCTTATTGTTGCCGCCACCCACACACTGCCTTTGGATTTACTTTTATGAACTTGTCCGCTCCGCTCATCGGGGAAATCTGTATCTATGTATATATATATGTACCTGCATGAATGTGTGCTGGAACTTCAACACTTCAGTCATTCAATTCACAATTCGTTTCAACAATTGAAATGCGATTAGCGCCAAGGTGCACAGGGAGGTGTACGGAATGAATGGCATCCCATTGGTTGGGAGGAGGATGTGTTGCTGCTTTTTGGGTTGGCTACATTTTTGATTTATGTGAAATTGAGTTAAATTCATCCACACAAACACAGACACACACACACATCCTGACCCGCGGGCTTTTCCCAGTCCCTCTCTCGCTCTCCCATTGTCAGCTGAGCGCGTCCTAATCAAGGCTATTCACTTGCCATAAATCAAATTAAATGGCTGTCACACATATCGCCTGGCGCCAGTGGGGCCTAAAGCTCCTGCTCCCGCTCCTGCCAGCCTAATCCTACGCTTTGTCCTGCTGCTGCTCCTCCTTCCAGCTGCCAGCCACTACATTGTCATGGTTGCTGTTGCTGCTGGCTGTTTCTGGGTGCTGCTGCTGTCAGCTGAGCATAATTAAAAGCCAGGGAAAATGTAAGAAAAATATATATGTTTGTATGTGTGTGTGCCCCTTTGAATTGGGGGTCACGATAGTGGCATTGTAGTGCTATGATTTCCGTTGAAAGAGAGTGCTTAATGGGCACTAATCCAAGGAAGTATTTTCTGCTTAAAATCGTTTGGAAATAAGAGAACTTTCTGCAATTAAAAAGAACTAAATCTAAAGTTCTTTCTTCCCCTGCTTTTAGGCTACCATTGAAACGTTTTTAATGAAGATTGATTAACGGATAGTGGAGTTAGTGATCGATCTATGGCTTGGCAGCCTACCTTGCATCCCAGTTGCATCCGTAGTTCCGCTAGATCTTCAATGCTGAGGCCTGGTACAGTCTTTCCTGTTATTTTAAGAACTCCAAGGAGATACATATGGCAAACTCCAATGTCATATCCAAATTTATTTTACAGCTTCCTGATTAGCTTTTCATTTGAAACTTCACTTCAGTCTTCCGAGCAGCTGTGAGGCACCGCATGCCCCAGCACCGATTGCGATGCAATATGGCCACACACCTCCCCCTACGGCGGCTGGTTGGGGTGAAGTGTAGCTAATTTACTGGGCCTCCAGTTGCTGGCAATCCTTTTGACTTCAAAGAAGAACTGTTGCTTGGAGTGCGTGCTCTCGCTGCTCTCGCTGGGTCCCTGGAAGGTCCAACAATGTTGCCAAACACTTCACGTGGTAGGCTCTCGCTCTCACTCTCACTCTGTGGGAAGGGGATGTAGGGATTCGAGTCCGGGTGCGCGCCTTTGACACTGTCAAACGGAGACCAGCACCGGCTGCAAGGCATGCCACACGCCTCCTGTTCCCTTGAAGTGCATTTGTTTTTTGGCTTTTGTTTTAATTGGCTTGCGCCCGGACTTGAAGGAGTCGCTGTGTGTCCCCTGATCCTGCCTCGGCTGCTACCTCTGCTGCTTTACTCCTTTGCTGCTTTTCGCTTAACAAACTACATTCCCCTTCCCCTCCCCCACCCACTGCCCGACCGCTTCGCTTCACTCATTAAACATTTACTTTCAACGCTTTGTCGGCGTGAACTTTGATGTTGACTTTGGGTCCCCATGTCGTCGTCCCACAGCTCCAAAGGGGCTACACACAGAGAGAGAGAGATAACCACTTGAGATTGCATCTCTTTGGCTCGTGCTCCGGCTCCGGCTCCGGCTCCTACATGACTCCTGCTGCTTCCAACTCTCTCAACTCCTTTCTCCAGCTCTCTTTTTTTTTTTTTATCTTTTGAAAAATGCATTTCTGCCGCAGATTGTGGCGCTCGTTTGGTCCGTGGCACATTCCAGCAGCATGCCAACAACCCCTCAAGCGAGCCGCCTCTTCTGTTGCAGCTGCATCTTCACTTAGTTGCATGCATTTTTTTCGCATTTCCACACAAAAATTAGCATGTGGAGCCTATGTGGGGAGGCACCTGGTCACCAGTCACTAAAAATCTGCACTTTCTTTTTGCTTGTTCCAGCAATGAGCAAACCAACGGAATACGTTGTCGAGTTCGTCATAGATAGACGGACGATCGATGGCAAACGGGAGTACTACCTGAAATGGCAGGGCTATCCCGAAGACGAAAACACTTGGGAGCCAGTCGAGAACTTGGAGAATTGCCCGGAATTGGTGGCCGATTGTGATGCAAGGCTGGAGCGCCAGATGAATGAAATGCGCGAATTTCTGCAGCGCAAGAAAATAGAACTTGAGGAATACCGAAGGAATACGAGTACATAGAGGAATTTACTTAATATTATCAATTATTTTCTTTCTAAAATGATCACATATTTTCCTTCAAGGATAGTGGCAACTGTACCTTTCAGTCATCGACGAGCAAACTTCAGTTTCAAAACAAATAAAGAAACCTCTCTAACCCGCATGTCATAAATCATAAGGCTTTGGCGCTGCCGTAGTAGATCCAGGAGCAGGCCCACGACCAGGACTTGGCAAAACTATACACAATGCACAATAGCAATAGAGCAGCGGCAGGGTGCCCATTGTCAGGCAGTCGTGTGTGTGTGTGGTGTACGGATTGTGTACGGCAATTCACTTAGGAGTGCATCACAGGCACACCCAACCGCCAAGCACAGCAAGCACCCAGATCCACTTGCAACCTCACTTGGCATCGTTTACGAAGCTATTCAGTATGCGACTACCTGTATTTATGGCCTGTAGCCTTCGTCCTGTGCCGCGTCCTGGGACTGGGCCTCGGCCTGGTCTGGGCTTTTATCTGCCAGCGGTAGTTACATTCCATTCATAAATATTTTTTCATTCACTTATTTGCTACCCCGCCACGTTTCTCTGTCCCTTTGCTTGCCACATACACATTTTTTTTGCGTTTAGCTTTCACCTGAAGTTGCAATGGAGCTGGAGTCGCTTTGGGAGTCCTGTGCCTGTGCCTGCTGCCTGCTGCCATTCGCTTATTGTTGTTATGCCGCGACTCGCTACGAGTTGCATTTTAAGCGTTGGGAGTTTGAGGAAGTATCTATGAGGCTTGCGCCATTGTTTGGCATATGTTTGTCGTTTGCCTTTGATCTTTTGCCAAAGTGAAAGCGATTGCATCTCCCGGACCAGCGCAGATAGTCAAGCTCCTCCCCAGCACTTCAAGTTTGCCTTTGGCTCAGATAATTGCAAGACCAGGCCAGGCCTCAGTTTCACTTCTAATTAGAAATATATGTATATACATACATATATCTACGCATACATACATTTTGTTAGATATCCTTTGCAATTAAAACAGACGCCAACAGTTGGAGGGCCTTCAACTTTAGTGCGGATTCTGTAGATTTTGGAGACTAATTAGGATATTTCGAGCTAACCAGGCGAGAGTTCAAATTGAAGGGCAGCCGGAGGCCAACAGAAGTGCATTTTTAACGAGTTAGAAACCCACAGTAGTAGGGGTCAGTCATAGGAGTTATTTGCAGTAGGAGTTGGAGAACAGAAGCAGAAACGAGTCCAAATTTCCATTTAGCCTCTCTTTTTCCGTCTCCTTTTTTGCAGTGGAAGAAATATCCGATAAGCAATAAGGAAGAGCAGGAGACATCGTGAGAGTGCCTCACCTTACATCAATATCGCCAATATGTGTCTGCTCTCATTGGAATCGTTTGCTGTTTTGGCGCGTAAAAAGCGTTGAGAAAAACCAGCGAATAATACTTTACTTAAATCCTTAAATATATGTATATTTACTCAACAGCATGGTCCATTTAATGGCATATTAAATCATTTTAGTTCTACCTTTTTACCGCCCACCTAGCGCTTCAGCAATGAAATGTTTTATTGCTTCTTAGAAACCACCAAAACTCTGCCAATTAAGGGAGAAGTTAAGCAAAGTACGGGGACTGGGGGCGCACATGCAGCCCACCACATGCTTATTTAATCATTTATGCAGACCTTATAAATTTTCATTAAAGTTTGATACAAAAATCTGCTGCTGCTGCCTGCGCCCAGAGCAGGGCAGAGCAGAGCAGATGTTCTGCGGTCCCAAAGTTCTAGTCCTGGCAGGAGTGTGTGTGTGTGTGTGTGTTGTCAGTCAGTGATTATGTAAATATTTCAACACAAATTAAAATCAAAATTAAAATTACAAAAAGCTGCCACAGGCAACACATGGCCTGTGGGGGCAGGATGGGCAGGGCTGTAGAAAGGTTCTCTGCAACACTTTGGGTCTTGGGCTCTTCTGCTTAGAAGGAGGCTCCTTTTCAACACTCTCATAGGCGTCCTCCCCACCCTCCATTTCGCAGACTCTATGCATGTCTCTGTCTACTCGTTCCATCTGTTTCTCTAACGCCCTCCACTCTTCGTTCATGTGTGTCTTATGGGAAATTTAAATAAAGTCAGCAGGCAATTTATTTGCATTAACATTTTCTGTGTGTGTGTGTGTCCCTCTTCCAGTGGGTGTTTTGTGTGTCTGCGGGTGTGTATCTGTGTACGCCGTATGTTTCCTGCTGCTGCTTGTGCTCCTGCTGCTGCTGCTGCTGCTGCTGCTCCTGATGTCCATGTTTGTGTGAGATGCAAATTTTTGTTCGGTGCGCCTGCTGTCAGCTTTGTTTGCCGCTTCGCTTCGCCGTTTTGTCGCTGTTTTCTGCTGCTGCTGCTGCTGGTCGCTTCATTGCATTTTTTCCAGCATCCAATAAAATCATCGGTAAAAAGAAAAAAAAAAGTTGCAGCAGCAACCATGGTGACTGCCATTGTCGCCCACTTTTGCCATTTGCTGATTTATCGCTTTCCTGCAGCTGCAACATCATCCACAATCCCCACCACCACTTCCGAGCACCGCCCAAAAGTATGCTACGCTTTTCTGCATTTCCCACTATAAATCAAAAGCAACAACAAACCAAATCTTTTTTGTTGCTGTAAACATTGTTGCAGTTCTGTTGTTGTTGTTGTGTCGCTTGTATTTAATCATTAACGTTTTTTTTTTTTGTTTGTTGCTTCAACCATTTTTATTGTTATTAATTAATCAGTGGAAAATGCTGGAAAATAACAAAAAAGAAAGTGTGCGAAAAACAGTTGATGGTAAACCAAGTGCTGAAAATTGGTTAAACGACTTTTGGCATGCACTGTAGAATGAATAGATACAGCAGGAATCATAAATTAGTGCTGTGGTTAGGTGGCCGCCAGTAAATTATGGCGCAGGAACAGCATGCCTTTTACATATATTTTTTATATACAAATAACCATAATTATATACATTTATTAAAGTTTATGAAAATATGAGAATTTTTGCACCATTAAATTGCGATTCTTTTGCGCAAAAATGGAATTTTCAATTGCTGCCAATTAATATCTATGCGAAAATCCTTTCTTAGTGCGTGCCCAAATTCGAGATTTTCTACTCTAGTCAATAATTTCATAATCAGTTTTTCCCTCTATTTGTCAACCATTTTCAAATTAATTTTCATTGAATAAAAAGTTGCTTTCAATTGTGAGAGAGAGAGACACACACACACAGAAAAGTTAATGGCAGTGAGCGACATTGAAAGCCCCAAAGCAAACACTCCGCCCATTCAGCAGACAGTTAACAGTTAACACATTCAGTTATTGTTTATAATTTTATAATTTTAATTAAATAACACATCAGACACACACACACCCACACACACACAGAAAAAGAACCAACTGATGGCTCACTTGGCAGCTGGCAAGAGATTGAGCGGAAGGATGAGTGAAAGGAAGTGAGAATGAATGAGTGTTGGCCTCATCATCAGTTTCAATCAGGCGTTTCCTTTCCACAGCGGAATTTCCCTTTCACATATTAAGAATGGGGTGTGGGTGTGGGCGTGGGTGGGATGGGATGGGATGAGCTGATTCTCGTTCTCATTGAGGTCACTTCACATCTGACAAATGTCAAATGGCATTTAACGACATTTGCACAAATCATTACGATTAACAAATGGGGAAAAAAACTAAAAGCAAATGAGTGTGCCCATCAGTGGGTAAACATCGCTGAGGGTCTGATCTGATGGAGAGTGCACTTCCCACCCAGCAGCAGCAGCAGCAGCAGCCCCTGCTGTACGTTGATGATTCTTAACTCAATTCCCCGACACTTCCACTGATTCGTACGGCCGTCCCCCCGTGCCCGCTCCACACGCAATGATGTCTCTCTTGTTTATCCAGCAAATGAAATATCTTGCGGGCTGTTCAAGCGCCTCATAAAAATGGCAAATTGAGTGTCTGCCCCCGTTGGGAATCGGACAGCGAGAGTGTACAGTGTACACTGTACCACCCCGTCTTTTTGGCTTTTTAACAAATTGTTTTCGCAGGTAAACAATCGCTCGTTTCGGGGCCATAAAATATGGTTTGGAACAACACAACGCAGAACATTCCTTAAGCTCGAAGCGGCGCGGGGGACCTTTCCGAAATAGCAATAACTAGAATTTCTAATTGCAATGAAAACACATTTCCCAGCGCTGCAGGTGGTGCCTGGTGCCTGCCCCCCCCTGTCCTCAATCGCCATTCCAACAAAAGTGAACCACGAAATTTGTGTATCAATGAAATTAATTGTTGGGGGAAAATATTATGCCAGTGCCGATTGATGGATGGTGTGTGGGTGTGCGGTGTGGAGTGTGGGCGGGGGTACCGAGTATATAAACGTGTGATAGGGATACACATACCCATATGATGAATCATTTTGTGGGGGGATGAGTGAATGAGTAATTGGTTGGGATTAGGCATGGGGTTACAAAGAAGAAGAACCGACTTGAACTTGCATACTGAAATGTGTACAAATCTAGGTGTTCCATTATCAATTTGATGGTGTCAAAAGCCACATAATAATAATATTAGAGGGTATTTTGTAAGTGTAGAAATAAAAAATCAGAAATCTCTTTCTAAAAAAAAGAGCATAAAGCAGGGTAACAATAGTGCGAATCTCTCTTTGACATTCTCTGATCAGTGATCTGATTCCTCTGACTCTCTATTTGGGGAACCAAAATCTACTGTGGCCGTGAAACTGTAGAAAGATCTATGAAATTCGAAAAACCTTTAACTTTATTTCAATCATCTATCCCTTGTATAACTCTACGCTTATCTATGAATTTATCTGTGTATCTATCAATTAATCTACCGCTTAGCAATCCGCCCATCCATCATCGCCTCATCAAGCCATGTCTTTCATTTCCTTTCCTTTTCGCAACCGCACATTTCCTCCCTGCCTTCAGTTCCTTTATCTTCCCAGTCCATTACCCTAAACCTCATGTCCAATGCATGTCCTAGCCGCCCCCACTCTGGGCCCCGAAAACCCCAAATGCAGCTCAACATTTGTCAACAGCAACAGCAACAAACCGAGAACGGGGCATAATTCGACCCTTCAGGTAGCCACTTGGCTGGGACGACTCTCGACCACATTCTGTACTGTTTTAGGCCGGCCGGCCGGCAGTTGGTTCTTGGTTCATGGTCTGGTCTCTGCCATTAGCAATATACACTGGGTGGGCCACCCCCGATGGGTGGACACAACCCCCTTTTTGAAAAACAAACCCCCCGTTTCATGACTTTTGTTTTTGTGTACTTGCGAGAGATGGAAATGAGAGTCAAACCGAAAGAGAGAGAGAGAGAAAGACCTGCGCAATGAGTGTTTCACATTCCGCAAATGGGATTCCGATTCGGGCTTTAAAACCTGTAATATCTATTTAAATTATCACTAAGAAATGGAATGTGATTAATTTGCTATAAAATATTCCACTAAGTCCCATTTAAATAACAAACCTTTCACTTAATTACTTTTAAAAATTCAAATTTAACGTTCATTTCGCCGTTACGTTACGTTTTTAGTTGTACTCCTTACGTAGTTTGGTTAATGTTCCATTTGCCAAAACGTTTCGCGAGCTTGCGCACCAGCTGTTGTGTCTCTCTCCCTCTCTTTTGTGCTCTCTCTGTTTGGTTTTGCAAAACAAAACGCGTCGCTGGTGGCGGCCGCTTGGAAAAGTCGCCAGAAATGTCAGATTCGAAGTGGAAATCACCGGAAAAACTACATAGCGCGGCTGAAAACACACAGAACAGCGACGTGGAGAAAATTGCCCATCATAAAAATCAAGTGCAGACGCCAGCGGAAGCAGAGCGTCAGCGGCAGTCACAGTGGCAGCGCGCGGAATGCGAAACGCGAATGAATGCGACAACGAATGCTGATAACAAAGCGTGCGACGCGTTAATAACAATAACAAAAGCAGAAGAACAACAAGAAACATAAAAAAAAAACACAAGAGAATCGCGCTTTTAATTAACGGACTACGACGCTAACAGCGCTGTCGACGTCGGCGTCGCGTGGATAGTGTGGCCAAAGTGTGTGTGTGTGCGTGCGTTTGCGTAGGAGTTTCTTGATATAAAAACTGCATTTGATTGCATTTTCGGCGGCATTTGCGAAACGACCGGCCGCCGGCAAACATAAAAACCAAACAAAAGGCAAATCGATAAGCAAAACGGTAAAGCTTCTCCTCTCTTTCTAAGTGCATGTGTGTGTGTGTGGTGTGTGAGCTGTTTGTATTTGTGTGTGAGCGCAGCTGTTGATGAAAGTGAAGCAAAGGAAAAATCATTCACATTTTCCAGGGGGAGAAAAATGCGAAAAATAACAACAGCCGCACCATCAGCAGCAGCAGCACACAAACACCGCTGCAGCAGAAACAGCAGCAGCAGAGCACCGGCGGGGAACACAAAAGAGAGCAAGAGGCAAAAGAGCTAAAAACTCAGACGACGCCAAGTTTTTGATACCCTTGCTTAGCTAGACGTTATGACTGTTATTAGGAGGTGTTTGTACGGCAGAAAATGCACAGCAGGTGCACAGGTGTAAACATGGCTATCTGAAGTTTAGTTTTGGACAGAAACTACGAATAGTATTAACTGCGAGTATTTACATGTGAAATTTCCCAAAAAACCCTTTAGTTTCCAAAGATAATCAAAACAACGGAAAGAAATTCCAGCTTCATTTTCCCCAAAATTGAAATCGGATTCGTTCTTTAATTGGTTTCTGCATAGAATTGCCATGTAAATAGCTAATCGTTCCTAGAAAAGTATTTTCCAAAGTCTACTTCCATACACTTTGCACAGCAAGGGTATCTCAAACTTCGACTCCCAATAGCTAGTCTCCTCTTGTTTTTGTTGCGTTTTCATTTACGTTTTTTCTCTCTCTTTGCTGCTGTCTCTGTTTTGTTTTTGTATATTTTACGAGACGAGTTTTACAAGCCCAGACATAGTCGTAGTTGTTGTTGTTGTTGCTCTTTAGTATCTGGCGTATCTCTAGTATCTAGATACTTTTTTTGTGCAGCTTATTGCCGGCTGATGCTTTTCCGCCAGTTCTTCGGCCCACACTTCCAGTACAAATTTGTCCCCAGCTTTAATTTCATAAATTTTCTACTAAAAGGAGTCTGCAGTCGAGAATTTCCTTGGATCCGACTCGCATTCGCATGTTGGCTAGCAGTCAAAAGTAACACTCAACTTTCGCCCGTTCGTTCGTTTGGTTCCAGGGGGGGCTTCTGTCTGCGTTTCTCTAATTGAGTTTGTCTGGAGCTCTGGGACTGGTTATCTAGGAATGGGTGAAACAGGAACGAACACACGCATCCACGTTAGTCTAGGGCCCAGGGGCTAGGAGGGGAGGATGGAATGGCAATGGAACAGCTTAACCCATGTGTGGGGGTGTTTGTAAATTATGCAAAATGCTCAGGGAATGCTTTTGTGATAAGTGAAGAAATTTTGTTCAAAGGAAATACCACATACAACTATTATGAATGCTAAATGCAGTCATAAAATGCTATAAAATGCAAGACATTTAATGCATTCTTGCACTAATCTTTTTAGCTGGATGGAAAAATCCTCGCATATCTCAAGACTCACCATGCCGGAGATTAGTTTCATTTCTATTCAAATGCCATGAAAATAATTCCACTCTCGTGCTTTCCCATTGCATTATTTCAGATTATTTCTCAAACATAAATCCTAACTGATGTCTCCATTCCCGTTAGACATTCAACAACACACAAAAAAACCTTCAATTTTGTTTGAAACAACTTTTTATCATTTCTCTTTTATGCCCTTTTTTTTGGGAGGATTTTTAAAGGGTTAACACACGCTTTACGACTACAAAAAACTTTTTTTTTTACGTTTACGTTAACTTTTTGTTTTGTCTGTTTTTCTGGCTGGTCCTTTGGTCCTTTTATTTGGCGAAAATATTTCGGCATTTTGTTGGCATTAAATTGTCAGTGAAACGAGATTCCGGGAGCACGTGGTATGGCATGGGGTAGGGGCATGAGGCAACAATTCAAAAACGTGAAACTGCCACTAAAACATGCCAAAAATCTGCGCGCATTTAAAATATTTGCCCCAGAGCCGCATTGAGAGTTATCCAAGCGAGGAAACAGAAAGGGAGGGAAGGGAGGGACTCCTGGCATTTGGCTGGGATTTGATTTAGTTGTTGGGTTGCCACACCTGTCCCCCCCAGGAGCTACATTTGTGTGTCGGTTGCCTGCCACGTGGATGTCTCTCTCTGTTTGGGTTTCATTTTAATTGCTTTCCCACTCCTTTCTATAACTAATTTAAAATATATTTGCAGATCAAATGTGAAACATTACTATTTAAAAAACAAAGAAAAATCCGATGTAGAATCATCAAAAATATACGTAAAAAATGCAACCATTCCGTTCCGTGCCGTGCTAAACAACAACATAACGTATACGATCCGAAATATATATAAATCAATATCTAACTATAAACCTAAGTATAATCTAAACGATTCTATGTGCAATTGAAACAATCAGTTTTGTAATAAAAATTGAGGATTTAATGAAAAACTAATTTGAAAGAGTTAAACATCTTGGAACGGTAAGTTTTTTGGATCTAAAAATAGAGGAAACTTATTTTTTTAAGACTTCTACAGGTTCAATGGGTTATGGGAAATTCAGTATTTTTAATCGTCTGTATGTAAGACTTGGTTCTATTTCAACTTGGTTTATACTTGAAATATTTATAGACAAATTTGGTTAAAAGAGTTCTTAGAAATTTAAAAGGAGTGTATATTTCTTTCACTGACACAAAATATGTTCAACTACTGTTCCAAATACTTTGTTTCTTAGTTTTATTCAAAAAATGCCATCAAAAGTTTATTACTTCAGTCTTATTTAGCATATACATATTTCTACAAGTATGTATAACAATTAATGCCTTAGATTAGGTAAAAACAGTTTAGAATTCGTTCGAATTCTATCCTAAATATATTCCCCTAAGATATATCAATATATTAATATTTAACTACTGTTTTCCTGCTTAAAAGTTTCCTTATTATGAGTTTTCACACATATTTGTGTCGTTTGCCTTTACCTTTTTCCTTTCTGGACTTCTGTTTATTGACTTCAATTTGGTTTCGAATACCGAACCCCCAAAAACTCAATTGCAGGACAGAAATGAGTCGAGAAAATGGGGGAGTAGGAGCGCGATTCATAGACAGGGATAAGGAGGATGAGGAGCAGGATGAGAAAGCATAGCCATAGCAAACAGAAGTACCATAATCCAGAAAACACCATTCAAGGGCAACTTTCACCGGCTCTCCAGTGATGGTTTATGGGGTGGTGTAAGAAGAGGTCAAACTACCCAGCCACTCGGCACACAGTTCTGCCGATGGCTATTTCCGTCCGTCCGTCCATCTATCCATCCATCGCTTACCGTCTGCCATTTTCATTTTTTGGCCAGGGGTCGAGGACTCTACTCTGCCGCAGTGGTCGGCCACATTGGCAGTTTTTGGGTCTCCCCCACAGACATTGGGACAGTGGACATACATCACAGGCCCAAGTTCAAATTTCCTACTTCCTCTGACGAGTTGTTTTTCTCCTGCTGTTGCTCCTGCTGTCGCTTTTCCTGCACCTCCTGCTCTTCGCTGCTGCTGCTGCATCTCCCGCCGCGCCGCTTTTTTTGAGTGGCAAAATTGTTGTTATTTTTGCAGAGTTTTCCCCAAAAAAAAAACCAACAAAACAAGGCACAAGGAAAATATAGAAGGAACATTTTTGAAAATGCCTGCCAGAAGAAGGCTGAAAATAGCAGAAAAGAGAAGAAAAGAGAGCAGTGGCAAAGTCTGAGCCAAGCGGCAAGGACATGGACATGGAGTGAAAACAGCCATAGACGTAGTCGCAGTTGTGTAGTCGTCGTCTCGCACCTTCCACCAACCACCCCCAAAAGTGGGGGTGTCGCACGGCTACAGCGGCAGCGGCATCCAAGTCCGTCGACCCGGGGCGCCCACATAACGATGCAGCAGGCGGTGGCAGGCGGCAAAGGCAGGCACGGCAGCATTTTCAACAATTTCCACATTTTATCTAACCAACCCCCAAAGTGGTGTCGACTGCAGAAAAAAAGGGGAAAATCCTTGCGGGGTAGAGAAAGAGCGCCACAATAAGAGAGAAGAGAGAAAGGAGAGTGGAGCGCGAAGAGGAGAGCCAAAGCCTGGAGAGGGGACTCCAGAGAGAGCCGTAGACGCAGCAGACGACGCTTTGGTCTAGTGTTTTGTTGTTGTTGCCACATAACCTTGGCAGGAAAGGGTATAGACGTAACTTTGTTATTCCTTTCTATTCGAAATTGAGAGAATAAAGAATCAAAAGACCGCCGCCAGAGTCCGCGCGGGTTTTCTTCCTTCCTTTAGTGGCTAATGCCGGGCAAAGTGTTATTTAAAAATAAAGCCTAGAGTGCTAATAGTTGTTGAATTATGGCAAATATTGGAATGGAGATGATTCTAATGTGTTTTCAGCTCATTGTTCTATGGGAACTGAGTACTCATTAAGGATATCTTAACGATATTTTGTTTGCAAAGCTAATGGAAGGCTAGTTTTATGTAAGTTTTGGCGAAGAGAGAATTCTAGTGGTATTTCGGTTGATTTTTCTATGAGAACTGAACTCTATTTGAAAATATCTCCATTAAATTTTACTTATTTAGGTCTTGGATGTTTAGGATGCTATGAACATGGCACTTAAATTACTTGTTCTATGTGAACTGGGCTTTTATCGCAAATATCTTAATGAAAGTTGGTCTGTTGAGGTCTTAGTAGTCTTTAGTTTTTATAAATATATTTTCAGAGATTTTTCATGTACTTTTATATCATTTCGTCTGTGAATTAAGCTTCGAATCAAGCGTTTTCTCTTAAATTCAATGATTAAAAAATACGTTATGATATCATTAAGCATTGAGATAGAGAAAGAGCATCAACACAAATAGCTGAAAATCATTTCATGCCCCAACAAATAAAACTTCTCAACTTTATCCTTGAACTTTTGGTTTGTTGGTTTTTCAGTTCCTGTTGCCGTATTTTTTATTTCCTACGTTTTACTCGTTTTTCTTCCTTTTGTCCCACCTTATGCACCTGGCAGACAAATCACACAAACTGACACGAGGAAACAAAAAGCCGAAAAAAGGAAAACAATTCCAAAACGTGTTTAACATTTTTTCATCTTCATTTCGCATTTTAAATAATTTTTCTTCTCTGTTTTCCTAAACTTTTTAGGTCTCCAAAGATTTTCCTAACCCTAACAAAAAGCGGGCGGGCAAGAGAGACGGAGAATAGAAAGAGAGAAGCTTGGAGAAAATTGTTTTTTTTTGCTTTAATTTTCGGCAATTTTTCTTATGCCAGAAAGAAAAATCGAGTTGTCGTTTGTTCCGGCTACCCCCCCGGTCTGACATTTTTAGGGGTTGGCTTTCCTTTTGGCTTTCCCGTGCTTTCCTTTTTTTTTTTTGGGGTTTTCCTTTTTTTGTTGGTTAACTTTTCTCATGGTTTTCCTGCTGCTGCTTTGCCAGGCTCTTCTCTTGCCTCTACTTTTGTTGTATGTTTATGCGCTACGCGTTTTCCCTAAGATTGACTTTGACATTAGCCCCAAACACACACACACACAGATATACACACACATACATACTGTTGTTGGGGGTCTGGCTTTCGACACGCTTCGTCCTGTCGTCCTGTCGTCATCGTGTTTGTTGGCCGGGTTCTTGTCCGCCATGTTGTTTTATTTTAGCACATTTACGTCATAATGGCATTTCCTTCCTCTCTCTGGCTCTCTCTCCCTCTCTCTCTCTCTAACACTCTGCTTGGGCTTTCCTTTTGCTTTCGTTTCCTTTCCAGCCTTCTGCTGCGCGCCTTTGAGACTTTTCCCCACTCACTTGTGGGCTGTGAAAATTTTCATTGTGTCTGTTAGCGTTCCCCTCCCATCGCGCCTTCTTAAATTTTGCGTTTCTCCTTTCTCTGTGAAGGTCCTTTATCGTGGTGTCTGTCTGTCTGTCTTTTTTTGTTGTTGTCGTTGTAATTGCTTTTGGCTTTATTGTTGCCCCATTCGCATTCTATTTTCCTGTTTTTCCTGTTTATTTAATTTGATTTCATTTTGATTTTTATTAGTTTCCCATGCGTTTTGCCCTAGTTCTAGAGCCGGCAGCATTTTCTATGTTTTCCTTGGGCTTTCCCAGTCCCTTTTCTCTTAAATGTAATTTAAGTTTTTTCCCCCCTGCCTGGACATCCATCCCCGCACATAACCGCAGCAGGCAGGCAGCAGCAGCATTGACAGGCGGCATTGACAATGATTGATTACCCACCCGATAGCCGAAACCTGGAAAAAAAAAGTGGAAAACCCACATTTAACGTTAGATTCGGCCCCACCTGCCACACCACCCATTGAACCTGCCAAACACACACACACACTCACACACAAAGGAAAAAGGAAAAAGAAATACAGAGAGAGGTACAAATATTTCATTATCTTTGATGTTCGTTTGCTTTAGCCACCAGCCCCCGCCCTTTTTGGGATCCAAAGTTAATTGTAATTACACATAAGATAGTTGCAACGATTAGATTCAATTTTTTGGTGTGTGTGCGTGGCTGTTGGCTTTAGTTTCTTTCTCGATTATTCAGACTGCAGTAATCTGATTTTGGATTTTGTAATTTTAGTTGTACCTTAAATTAAAGACAATTAAGGGGGACACCAAATAGCTGACGACCGATATGAGGGAAAAAACACATTGAGCAAGAGTGGGGCAAGAGTGGAGCAATAGGTTTTGTGGTGGCACAGAGTCGAGATTTATGAAGAGGCCACTCATTGAATTGGTGCCATAGAACAGCGGTTCGCTTGACAGTTGGTTGAGATTTACGATGAAGGCCGATGAGTGGAAGAATGACGGGAATAAAGGCAGAATGAAATGGAGACTGACTGGAATGGAGTCAGTAGCATGAAGAATGAGAGAGTGCTTGGGTTAATGGCTCTATCTGCCTAGCGATTGTATGAGCATGGCAACTCTGGTACAGAGAGAGAGGTGGAACGTTTGGAATTTCTATATTTATGAGCACATAATTTATTATGTAGTTGGTACGTGTTTTGGAATCCCCTAAAACCATTTAGAATAATGTTAACATTATATCAAAACAATTAAACATACTTTTACCTTGCAGCTAAATTTATTTTGGATTGTTTTATTCAATAAATTGGCAGACCTAATATTGTTTTGTTGCTCAAAAAACATTTGACCTTTAAGTCAATGAAATATAAAACCTAATTTCTACTATTTATTTTCCCATAAAATACAACTCTTAAAGGTAAAAGACTCTTTGAACAGAGTTGAACCAGGCTTAGCCCTCTAAAATACACCATCTTGGGGGTTCTCTGTGATGTATTCAAATAAAATCAACTGGAAATACACTTTTAATCCAAAAATATTCCCCCACTACTCATTAATATCCTTCACATAATCATTCTTTATGCACCCCATGTCAACCCCATGGGGCATATCAGGATGCCCCTGCTGCCACAAAATAAACCTAATTTTAGGCCCCAAAAGTGACACTTAAAAATATTTTTGTGGGGGG